TTTAAGTTGTATTTACCGGTAATTCTTCTATTATAAGCCTACCTGAGAAAAAAAATTGTTACGTCTTTCTTATCACACATTTTTGGCAGATAAGTATTAACATCCATTTTGGCGGTAAAAAAAATTTGAAAGCCAGTGTGAGTCCTGCTTAGTGTTTTCGACTAGAACCGTTGATTTAGGATTTGTGCAAGAGTATATTGTTTTCCACAAATAAGAAAATATAGGCCTACTCCACAAAAAAAAAACATCAAAAATAATTGTTTGCAACATTCATCTTCAAATGAAAATATTCTGAATTATTATGATTTTTTGTCAGAGAATACTAGAGTTATGATTTTATATTAATTCCTGCCAAGTGAGCCTGTTCTTGATTGTTTGCATGCTGTGTGAAGACATCTTGAATGAAAAAAATGCAAGCAGTATGTAGAAAAAAAGTTAATGTGTTTCAACTTTCCTGATAACAAAATGATCAGTTTGAGATTAAGCAGAATTTATAGTTGGAAAATTATGGTCAATGAATATATTGTACATGTAGCTTATAGGTAGACGTGGGTATGGAGGGTTAGGGTTAGGGTACTGTATTATGATTAACATATATACATGTATTGTACAAGCACATGTGATTATACTGTATATATATACATGTAAATGAAATGAATTGAAATGGGGTTTTAACATCCTGCTGTTCTACTCCGACTGGGCTAATAAAGACGGGCATACGCCATACAGTGTGCTATGAGGGACATTAAGCCGGGACAGTGACGCTATGGCCTACTCTTCTATCGAATTCCAACTGCGAATAGTTTTTTTACGTGCACAAAATTGTGTACGGGGGACCATGGTATTTAGTCCCATTCGAACGACTATGCCAGGCCCCCTGTCCTGGACCACTGACAAGGAGAAACCAGGCCAGAAAATCCTGATGATTATGGGACGTCCAAGTTAGCGAGTCAACATCTTACTCACTGAGCCACTGTGGCTCCCGTATAGTAATATGATTAACATATATCGTCAGTGAAGTGTCAAAAGGGTGTATCTCGGGGAAATTAGTCAAATACACTTTTTTGCATTTTTAAAATCTCCCAATTCATTTCTGTCTGAGCTGTGTATCTCTACGCCAATTAGAACTGTTCTGGGTGTCATGTGTCCAAATGTTGTATCTTGATTTGTGGAAATTTTGAAATGCAAAAGGTTCTATTTCTTTATCTTTAGAAATTCTTAGATACACCCTTTTGACACTTCACCGATATTATAGCCCGTTCAGACGCTTATTTTTAAACCAGTTCATAATCGCTGGGATTTTTAAGACAGCATCGTGTTGCGTTCACACGTACTATAAGCCAAACCAATTTAACTATTCTGACCTCTTCGGTCGGAGGTTAGAGTTAACTACGCATGGGTAGCTTCATATTCTTTATTCGGTTCTCGCATGCTTTCGATAACATTGGCACTGTCTGACCCCGATATTTTCACAGAAATGTAACTTACTGCGTACTGCGCATGCTCAAAGCAAGCTGGAGCCGGGGTTTTTAAGCCAACCCGTTCAGACGGCTAAGATGAACCAGTTTAAAATAAAAAGCCTTCTCGAAGACAGGTCGCGAGCTGAGGTTTTTAAACTGGTTTATTTGCCCCACATTTGCGTTCAGACGCTTAAGTTAAACTGGTTTAACGATCCCCGGGGTTTTTGAACCAGTTCAACTTAAGCGTCTGAACGGGCTATTAGATACACCCTTTTGACAGTTCACTGATATTATATTGTATATATACATGTTACTATATATATGGTATATAAGTTAATTATAGTCTTGTATAATAGTATTACAGCATGTTTTTATTCCACAGTAACAAGTAGATATTATCATATATACCTAGTTATATAATGATTATTGTATGGAATGTATATAACATACCATGGTACTCTTAACTAATATTTCGATCTACAATATTAATATACTCAATAATGTATCTAAAAGATATACTTAATGAAGAGGTGGGAGTGGGGGAGTTTGTAACATACTCTATAATTAAACATACATTATGCAAGAGCTAAATCTGTCTATTGCAGGTCTTTCTTTAGGCCTGAAATGTTATCTAAATTATTAATTAGACATTTATTAACTTATCCAGACCATAATTAGCTCTCGATGCTAGTGCTAGCCTGTGATATTTATTGGATTGGAATACATTTTTTGAAAAATAATTAAACGTTAAAATGGATAATCAAGACTTTGTTTTTTATCGTACCAGCTTTAGTAATGATAATCAAGGCTAGGCCTAAAATTCAATCGCTAATATCTCGGTTCAGAGTGGAGCAATTTGACTGAAATTTTCAGCATATTCTACATGTATTTACGTTATCTATTTTTTAACTATTATAGTGAGAATTGTCAACTCTTTATCTAATCTCCGTCAGACTACCATAATGTCACTTTAATGGAGAGAAAGAGATATTACATACATGGTTAGGGTGACCCACCATAAATAAATATCTCCATATATCTCGACAATTTCGCCACAATATTTATATATATGCCAAGCCTCAAATCAGTTTCACACAATTATAGTCACTAAATAAACGATCATGTTGTACTTAATAAGCTATGACCATTAATCATCTATAAATAATAGACTGAAAACTGGTTCCATGTGTCGTCCATAACATCCAGACACTTTTGAGTAAAAGATAGGTTACGTGCCCTTGTTTTGAAATTAGTCTCGCTTAACCAGTCTATCGACCATTCTAGGGCTGATTGACAGGTCGGGATAATCAAGACTACTTTTTTACGAAACATAACAGAAAGCTAGAACAAGAAATTGAATTTAGAAATGAGCACGTTAGCTAGCTCAACAATTGTTTTAAGAAGCTTGTAAAAGTAAAATGAAACTACTGCTAGTATCATGTTCCTGTCTAACCCGAGTGTTTCTGAGATATTATTTGTACTAAACCAAAAGATGCCGCTCTTAACGGTACAGTTAATGATAAAGCGATTTAAAAAATGAAACGAACGTAATTTCTAAATCTGCTGTAATAACCAAGAAGCTTAATTTCACTGCTATTCAAAATCGTCAACAATAATTTTTTTACGGCTGTAATAGTTGATAGATTTGTAGAGAATTGCACGTGCCATGGCTATTTATAGTATCATACTGTCAGAAAGTTGGCCTCGACACGGCGAATGTGCACGCTACAGTGGTAGTCTCGAACTATCAGCGGTGGACTGTATTTCTGTAGGTGCGTGGGCCACCCTAACACGGTACTTGTACATGTAGTTTCGATTCCCAAATAATTCAGTTATATTTTTAACTTGGTAAATACGAAAAATTAAAATCGACCAGATCAAATTGGTGTTCAAGACATCTTAACGCGATTGCTATAGATCATAATGTCTGTCATTGAGTCAAGTGGCATGGTTTCAATCCCCAGCTTGTATGTGACCAAGAGTAGGGTCACCTGTCCAACCTTGTGGGTTTCTCCGGGTCCTCCGGGTTCCTCCCTTTTTTTGCAACATATTATTGAAATGAAATGTTAGTCCCGAAATGACCTAGTTGGCATCGAGTTCGAGTGGATATTAAACCCTGTTTTTCTCAAGAGAAATAATGGGAAATTTTAATGATTTCTGGACCAATTCGCCTGTCCAACCTCGTGGGTTTTTATCCGTGTCCTCCTGTTTCCTCCCACTGCTAAAGACCTCTACGCGTCAGCGAATTATTGAAATAAAATTATACCATATGTTAGTCCCGAAATGACCTAGTTTGTGTCTAGTGGCCGTTAAACTATCTCTCTCTCTCTCTCTCTCTTTGTGGGGGGTTGGATGGCCGAATGGTTATCACGCGCGTTGTATCATACGGTCTGTCATTGAGTCAACTGGCGGGGTTTCGATTCCCCGGTTGTACGTGACAAGGAGTAGGCACGCCTGTCCAACCTCGTGGGTTTTCTCCGGGTCCTCCGGTTTCCTCACACCACTACGCAACAGCGAATTATTGAAATAAAATTATACCATATGTTAGTCCCAAAATGACCTAGTTTGTGTCTAGTGGCTGTTAAACACTCTCTCTCTCTCTCTCTCTGTGCTGTTTGAAATGAAAGAACAATAGGTTGAAACTAACCCTTTTCACATGTAACCATGGAAATATAAAAGAAAATGAACATATTGGATTGACGACAAATTGAACCCCCATTTACTCTATTGTTATCAGGTTTTTTTTACAGTGTTTAAAAGGTTTTCTTGAATCTTAGATAATAGAATTAATTATAAGAGCAACAGAGAGAGAGAAATGGGTTTAACGCCCACTTGACACAATACATCTGTCATTTAAACACAAAAATACAGACGTTATGATCATTAATAACGTTATTTTTGTCCAAATTCCAAGTAAATGGATGGTTGCTTTGTTGATAGGAACATAATTTAATGAGATGGTACGTTATAATTATTAATATCGTTATTTTTGTCGATCCTTAGAGAATGTTCGTTTGCTTTATTTACAGGAATATAATTTATAATTATTAAGAACGTTCTTTTCGTCTGAACTTACAATGGTTGGTTGCTTGATATAAAGGAATATAATTATAAGAATGGAAGGAAACTGATCTCTTATTTATTGATTAAAGAAGTTAATTAAGCTGTGTCTATATTCATAATTCTATTTATTTATTCATGCCGACATAAACCCTTGTCAGAAGGGAGTAAGAGACTGAGCCACAAACCTGAAAGTCCCGGGTGCAGCACAGGAGGGCCTGGCAAGGTTCAACATATGGTCATTCAGATGGGACAAATATATTGGCGAGGTCGTAAAAGATACTTTGGCAGTTGGAATTCGATATAAGAGTAGGCTATAACGCCGCTTGTCCAGGCAAAATATGGCATATGCCCGTCTTTCAATAGCCCAGTCGGAGCAGAACAGTAGGACGTTAAACGTCATTCCATTTCATTAGCCCAGTCGGAGTAGAACAGTAGGACCTTAAACTACTTTACATTTCATTTTATTTCTAGTTACAGCCATGGATAATTTACAGTGCTACGATTGGAAAGGGAACGCAGTGGCAGACGGACAGAAGTACATTCCTAACAAGGATGATCCGTGTATGGAGTGCACATGTTCGAAAGGTTTCCGAATAATGTGTACCTCTGTGGCATGTTCACCTCCAGGAAACTGTGCATTGTGGGAGCAGATAGATGGCGTCTGTTGTGAATATAAGTGCATACGATCCGGTGAAGGGAATAACGTACAGGGAGGCGGTACTAATTACAACGCGTCACACCCAGATCACGATGGAGGAACGGGTAAGTTGATAAGTTATGAAGAGCCTAGGGGAAGAACGATCTAAGTCACATTTTTGTCTTTTCGCAAAAATGCAAAACAAACTTTGAAACCTGATGGACGAGAATGCTTGAAGTGACCAGGGCGCTGTGGATTGTGATCATTTTTACCCAGAGTCAAGGCTCTACACAGCATTTTGAACTTACTTGTGCAAACATAAGTAAATTTTCCAAACCACTAGCCAAACAAAATTTTCAGTTGCCAAGTCTGAAGATTAGAATAATTTGTCGTATGATATAGCTAAATTATATTGTGAACATACATAACTCTTCAACTTGTCGTCCTATAATAATAATAAAAGATGTTTTAAACATTTTTTTCCGACTAGGACTCACTGCGAGACGAAGCTTGTAATTTTGCTTGTTTGGGTTATGTATCATCAGTAGCAAGACTATCATCATTTTTCCCCAACTGAGACTCACTGCGAGACGAAGTTACTTTACTAGTAAAGTAAGACGATATAGGTTTGATTCGTCTGCTAGCTATGCTGTCAGCTGTCTCGTAAACTTCCGATAAATACAGCGCATGCATAATGAGAATTTCCTCGCAGGAAAGAAACAAGAGTGAAAGTTGACCGGGATCATTGCCGATCACGTTATCTTTACGGAGAAAAGTTCAGATAGCTATGGTGTTAATTGGGGACTTCAAGATATATGTTCACTCGCCAGAAACCTAGCATTTATAAATATCTGGTCGCCATTGTAGAGCCTTGCTGAAATCAATAGTTCTACAGAAAGCTGATAATTTCTCTCAAAACAAAATATAGTACAATTTTATTTCAATAATTCGCTTGATCATATGGGTATTCAGCAGTGGGATGAAACTGGAGAAAAGCATCATAAGGTCTGTCATTGAGTCAAGTGGCATAGTTTTGATTCCCTTGTATGCGACAAGGAATAGGGTCGCCTGTCCAACCTCGTGGGTCTTTCTTCAGAACAGAATAAATAAAAACACGGGAATGCACAGGATTTTTCTATTTTTCTTGTTTTCTCTTATCTAGTGACAGCCAGTTCTATTTTTGAATTGTGAGATATCCTCTGATCATCTCATATAACAACTTTCCATCGTCAACGGATTTATCGGTGAAATGAAATTCGACCATGTGTCTGTTATTGCTCGTTACTTCGTAGAAGGATAACTTGTGTTTGTCATGTTTGTCGTCACTTCCCGTTTATTTAAGTATTTGTTACACATCTATCGTAGCAATGATCTCTGTGTTAAAATTATATTTGGAACGTATTTAACCAGTTCTATAACATATGTGATAATGACTGACACCAATATTTAATAGTATTGATTTATAACAAGCACCTGTTTTTATATTACAGCTACTGATGATGAGAGTATAACTAATCTAGGATTAAGATTAGTAGCCAGTACCGTTACATCCTTCCTAGTTTTAGCTTTATTATTATTTATGGTACATCGTTTACGACAGAGACGCCTTTTATTGGCTATGAGAAGTAAGTTTTTATACAACCATTCATCCTTTGTCCACAGTTGCTTGTTATCACTCTAGAGGCTAAATTTATCATCTGATTGATTTTGAATTTAAATTTATATCCAGTGTTTAAGGTCGTTAGATGAAAAACGTTGGTGATAATTAAGTATTGTTTAATGGTCGAGAGCGAGACATTAAGTAATATATTGTAACAACATGAGGGCCGTAGGCCCGAATGTTTTTACAATATATTACGCAATGTCGTAAGCTCGCGACCATTAAACATCCGCAATGTCGTAAGCTCGCGACCATTAAACATCTTAAAATACTGACACTCCGCACGAGCTTTTATGTCACACTAGTCCAATATCTCACTGGTATGAATAAAGTACTATTGGCAAGTTGTCCGTACGATTATTTGAAATAATGGTACGCCAACATCAAAGGGTGACGTCACATCTGTATTTTAAAGCCAAATTATGGCTCAGATCCCCGTTTCTCAAAATCCTAACTAAAGATAAAATCCAAATTTTAGTAGATACTTCAATTTTGATTGGCTAAGCACTAAAATCAATCTAATATTATCCAATCAAATTATTAAAATTTGGATTTTATCTTGGTTAAAATTTCGTGAAACATGCCCCAGAATTTTCAAGATCGATTCCCCATTGTTAGTACTGGCCTGGAAATAACGGTTTTAGATATTCCTGACAAAATGTCAGGCACTAATGATATCAATAAAAAAGACAAATCAGATCACAGACACCAGAGGTTTTGCGCCTGACAAAGCCTGAATCTATGTCTGACATTGTCTGTGACAGGTGCCTTATTTCCAGGCTTGTTAGTAGTAGTACAGGACGGAAAGGGGGCCTAGCATGTAGTTGTTTGTATGGTGGGAAAAAAAATGATTCCCTGACAGTTGGAAATCGTATTAATAGTTTGCTGTAGAACATGGCATGACCTACATGTATGCCTGTCTTCTTTATGGATAACATTCGTCAAAGAAGTATCAAAAGGGTGTATCTCGGGAAATTAGTCAAATACACTTTTTTGCATTTTTAAAATCTCCCAATTAATATGCACATTTCTGTCTAAGCTGTGTGTCTCTACGCCAATTAGAACTGTCCTGGGTATCATGTGTCCAAATGTTGTATCTTGATTTGTGGACATTTTGAAATGTAAACGGTTCTATTTCTTAATCTTAGATACACCCTTTTGACACTTCACCGACGATGTGCACGTTGCATCATAAAGTCTGTCATTGAGTTAAGCGGTGTGGTTTCGATTTTCTGCTTGTACATGACAGTAAGTTAGGTCGCCTGTCCAACCTCGTAGATTTCCTCCCACTATGCATCACAAGGAGTAGGGTCGCCTGTCCAACCTCAAGGGTTTTCTCCGGGTACTCCAGTTTCCTCCCACTGCTAAAGACCCCTACGCACAAGCGAATTAAGGAAATACAATTGAACCGTATGTAAGTCCCGAAATGACCTAGTTTGTGTTGAGTGGATGTTAAATCCCATTTCTCTCTCTTTATCTCAGTTGGTGCTGAAATGTAGGACGTTAAACTCGTTTTATTTCATCAAAGGCCAATTATTTCTTAATAATTATTTCATCATATTTTTTTCAGGATTTGAAGCTCAAGCCAGACGTCAGCAGTTGGAAGAAACAGATTCCGATCATTATATACCAGAAACATTTCTTGGTATCGAGTGTCCCCCTTACGAAGACCCCCCTCCTCCCTACTCACCCCCTAAACCCCACCCCAGAATATTACCAGGTGAAGCTCCTCCCCCTTACGAGGAGATAGATCAGAATCCACTCAGCCCGTTAAACAATAACGAGATAAATCGAGCTATAACGGAGGGAAATGGCGTTCCAACTCCTCGACAGTGTTCAGGAATGCAAAACACGGACAATAACGACACCGAGTTGACGACCAGGAGCGTTCAGACATCTGCGATGCCAAACGTTGAGTGTCGTATCGAGAGCGAGGAGTTGAGACGAGGTCAAAATGTAGGTGAGGTTGCCAATCACGGTGGGGTTTGTGTTTTGCCAGATTTTAACGGACTGATGCATACGTATATATCGGGAAATTTAAACGCTGTTCCTCAGAATAGAACTAGAAACAGTTACCTAGGTAACAATGATAATTATGTATCCCAGACTAGCCCAACAGGTGCCGCCCCGCTTCTGTGCTCTAGTGTTCATTCAGATTTACGCGATCGTGCCGACTATTCTTGTGATGAGGATCAAACTATGCTAAAAAGATGTTATTCACCCGAACAGGAGGAGCAAACAACAAACTTTGCCAATTCTGCTTCCTTTCATCAACAAAGTCCCTTATTAGGCATTTCTAGTGCTGGTCATTGTGATCGTTTACCAATGTCGTCTGCTCAAGCTGCACAAGTCATGTCTGCTTCCTTGACAGAAAACTCTGATTCAAGGAGAATTATCCACCAGTTCGACAGATTTACCTCGCTTCCAAGACAAATCAGACCTTCCACAGAGTTTCAGAGAGTATCTAATCACTTCCCTGGAAATGAATCGGCAGAAACCCCTCAGGAGATTCCACTGGTGAACATGAAAAGATCGGGAAGTCAGGAACAAGCTAATTCATGTTCCCAGACACCATTAAGGACTGCTGCCGACGGTGCTTCCCGACAAGATTTACTCAGAAGTAATTTACAGCCGCTAACACTGAGTGATAAGGTTACTCCACTGTGTAGTAATATCATGGTACCAAATCACGGCCAAGCATCGTCAGTTCAATCCAGTGAGGCAAGGTTAAGGAATCTCCGCCTTTCTAACTTGATGAATAGTCCAACTAAACAACTTGATGCTGCTGGTTCTCCTGTCACGCCAGATGGTCAGCCAATGAGACGATCCCAATCCATGACATCGGAAATATCTATTTTTTCGGTTTGTTCCGAGACAGGCGAAGTTAAACTTCCAAAATTAAATGGCAATTTGCTTCGAAGTGATTCCCAGTACCCAGACATCCCAGTTCGGCCACATCCAGTCAGGCAACAGACCAATCCATGCGAACCCAGTCAGACCTCTAGTGAACCCATTTCCAAACCGGTTTCTGCCGACACACAACTTGCTCAAAGGGAAGTAACTCCTGATGTCCAAAGGGCAGATAACTCTAGCAGATCAGGATTGCAGGCAATAGAGGAGAATCAATCAAGTGTGGGGGAGGGGGATGTGGGGGGACCCATTGGGGCCACGGCTTTAATTCAAAATTTTAACAAACTCAATACAGAGCTGAAAGAAAAGTCAAAGAAAAAAGACAAAGTTAAAGTGAATCGTTATTCGACAGGAAGCTTGCCGGTGCAAAAACCCAAGAAAGTGAGGCAGGTTGGTCCTTCGTGTGAATCAAAAATAGTGAACGAGGTCAGTAAAAAACATGAGGGTAGCAGACGTAAGGCTTTAAAACCTAGTGGTTTACTAAAACAATATGGCTTTATCGACGATAATAATAGTGCTGGTCCAAAGAATAATCCTGTGAAAATAGAGAGCAGAAAGGTAGATTCTAAGGACCCAAGATTTAAACGTGATAGTGAGCATCAAAGGACGAAATTAGACGTTCCTATTTATTGTGATTCTACAGTATTACAGGCCACACCTGAATGTGTGCCTGCTCGTAGTGGTCGCACGGCTGCAATCAAACCAGGTGTAAAACGCCAGTTAAATTATTCTGATAAAACTTCTCATAGTCCTAGTCCGACAAGGCATAAATCACGACCTAAGTCAATGTTCCCCTCGTTTAATAATAAAGAAGCCGAATCCGGGGCCTGGAACGATTTGAGTAAAGACCCAAGCACGACGTGCGTGCCGCGTAGAAAAAATAAATCTTCAACTTCTAGGAACAAAAAAAGACAATCGTACCCTGCTACAAATATACAAAGTGCGGAAAATACAGGCATAGTTTTATCACGGCCAAATATATTGGCGAGTGTTATGGACGCCACAAATGAAATCGTGTGCCCTGTCTCCGAGTCGGCTGCTCATCAAAACACCACGTTATTAAATGGTTATGTTTATAAATATAACACTGACAGTAAGTCACATGATAACGGAAATGTTTACGTTAAATTACGACCAACAAGTTTAAGTAGCTACGTTTAAGAAAGCATCTTCTTCATTGCATATTTTTGCCTCGCTCGTGTTAATTCATTGATGATACCTGAAACCACTGTTCCCAGTAAGCTGTGCACATGTGTGTGCCGTAGAAAAAACTTTTTTTTAGTTTTCAGATAACATTAAAAGTCTGAAATTTTATTACTCATGAGAGATAAGCTCTACCACAATTATTTTGAACCAAATTCAAATTTATTTGTATATATATGTTGTGCACATGCTATTATCACAAAGAATATAATTTGCATATTATAAATTTTGTTCGATCCCTGCATTGGCCGAGAAAGTTCATTGGGATTTTCCGATGTGGTTCACCCCTGGTCATTGATGTAGGACGGGACAGCCTGACAAGGACAGCTGTCTAGTCCTTCAGATTGAATGAAAAACCGAGGTCCCATGTACACATGGCATGCACGTAAAAGATCCCTTGGCAGTTGGAATTCGATATAAGAGTAGGTCATAGTGCCGCTGACCGGACAAAATTTCCCTCATAGCACACTATATGACGTATGCCCGTCTTCATTAGCCCAGTCAGAGCAGAACAGTAGGACGTTTAAACCCCATTTCATTTCATAAATTTTGTATGCTCACTGACATTTAAAAATTAAAGGGAACAAGACAGAAATATCTGAGGATAAATTTTTCTTTCCACAAGATTTGTGCACACACTAAAAATTAGAGGGAACATTGCTTACTAACAAGACAGGGATATCTGATAATAAAATGTGTTTACCTCTTGTGTAAGATGATAATACTATATACATGTAACAATTGTATATATCCAAGCCTGGAAATAAGGCACCTGTCACAGACAATGTCAGGCACAGATTCAGGCTTTGTCAGGTACAAAACCTCTGATGCCTGTCATTTTATCTGGCTCTGATTTGTCTGTTTTATTGATATTATTAATACATGTCCGACACTAAGTTGAAAATGTCAGGTATTATTTCCAGGCCTTCCATATCTTGTTCTAGTTGTTCAGTTATAAGGCACATACCGGTATTATTATTATTATTTGACAGCTATAAAACACTGTAACCCAGAAACTACTAGTTTTGTTCTTATGTGACATCTTCAGGCTTAAACAGACATTATGTACATGTAAGAGCTATTTGCCTATTGCAGGTCTTTCTTTAGGCATGATAATGTTATATAAACTATTAATTAGACATTAATTAACTTTAGACCATAATCAACTCTTGATGCCATTAGATGCTAGAAATTTAGACTAGATTAGAACGGTTTGGCCATTTAATGATTTATTTTAAAATGGAGTTGTGGGTCTATACCAGTACCATTAGCCCAGTATAGGAGCAGAACAGTAGGACGTTAAACCTGTGTGATCAGTAAAATGCATTATGTAATCTTTAGATAAAGTACTGACAGTAGATAATTGGTAATGAATATATTGAAAATTCCATTCAAATTACTTTATTCTGAGTGAAGTTATGAGTGTTGGAAGATGTAGCAAGATTATTTATTATCGTAGCAATGGCACTGGACAATTGAGGCTAATCCTCTGTTTATTGTTAAAAAAATTTAATCTCGAAGGTGTTTTAATCCATTTAAATCTCGGCCATCTGATGATCTAGAGAGGGTGGGTTACAGTGGGTAAGATGCTGGTTCACTAGCCTGGAGGTCGGCTGTTCGATCCCTGCATTAGCCGAGAAAATTCACTCAGATTTTCCCACGTGGTTCCCCGTTGTCAGTGATGCAGGACGGAGGGCCTGACAAGGACAGTTGTCTAGTCGTTTGGATGGTGTGAAAAACCGAGGTCCTGTGTACACATAGGCGTGCACTTAAAAGATCCCTTGACAGTTGTAATTCGATGAAAGAGTAGGCCGCAGTGCCGCTGTCCGGACTAAAATTTCCCTCATAGCACACTGTATGGCGTATGCCCGTCTTCATTAACCCAGTTCGGAGCAGAACAGTAGAATGTTAAACCCAATTTCATTTCTGATGCTCTAGAGAGTTGATTATAAGCTTGTCATGTTAATAAATGTTAACAGTAGAACGTTAAACCCCATTTCATTTCTGATGCTCTAGAGAGTTGATTATAAGCTTGTCATGTTAATAAATGTCTAAATAATAATTTCACATTTGAAGTCAGAAAAAAGACTTGCAATCAGCAGATTTAGCTCTTACATAATGTATGATTAACAATATTTCACTATAAAACTATTGTGTTAAAATTTTTATAATAATGATATATAGGGTAGTTGTTTTTATATAATCATTCATAATGTATACATTGTGTATATATAATATACATTGTTATATCTATATATATGTGTAATATATATTAACATCTACATCGCAGCCTTTATTAATTCATTTACTCAGGATTTACTGTTAAATATAGCTTTATATACATTATTATATACTTGCAGGCTTTTAATATACTTGTATTTATCTCTCTTCTTTGTCTTGCCTACAGTCTTGTAAAATACAATGACACAGTATCCATAATGACACTCGTAATACATGTATAACTCTTTTATTCACCAAATGCTTCCATATGATATTCTGTTCATTTTCTGTGTGGGGGGTTGGATGGTCAAAGTTGTTAGCACATGCGCGCTGTATCATAAGGCCTGTCATTGGAGTCACCTGTCCAACCTCATGGGTTTTTTTCAGGTCCTCTGGTTTCTTCCCACTGCTAAAGACCCCATATGTTAGTCCCGAAATGACCTAGTTTGTGTCAAATGGACCTTAAAGCCCATTTCTCTCTCTCTCTCTATCTCTCTCATTTTCGGTGTAAAAACGCCTTAGAAATAGAATATCGCTAAAATTGTCATTATTCTGTTCAATTTCCGTGTAAAAACTCTTGAAGAAAATATTTTTTAAAATGGAAATTAGTTAAAATTGTTATATTCTTTTTAAAAGAAATGTCTTGTTTGAAATGAAAGCCGAGGACTATGAATGTATCATTAATGATTAACTAATAAGTAGTAAATTATATTCTCAGTGATCTTTTAGAGGCATTTAGTAACAGGATAGAGCAATAAAATATAACGCATACTTATGGAAAAACAATTATTGATTTATTTAGGCGATGTTTCGAAGAGTATTCTCTCAACGTTTTCAAGCATGTATAATTGCCCTTCACATTTGTTACTGTACTTGCTTGAAAACTTTGAGAGAATACCCTGCTTGAAACGTTGCCTAAATAAATCAGTAATTGTTCTTCCATAAGTATGTGGTGGGGGGGTTGGATGGCTAAATGGTTAGCGTGCACGCGCTGTATCATAAAGTCTGTCATTGAGTCGACTGGCGTGGTTTCGAATCCCCGGTTGTACGTGGCAAGGAGTAGGGTCGCCTGTCCAACCTCGTGGGTTTTCTCCGGGTTCTCCGGTTTCCTCCCACTGCTAAAGACCCCTACGCGCAAGCGAATTATGTAAATAAAATTAAACCATATGTTAGTCCCGAAATGACCTAGTTTGTGTCGAGTGGACGTTAAACCCCATTTCTCTCTCTCTCTCTCTCTCTCTCTCTCCCCATAAGTATGTGTTATTATGTGAGAATTATGGTCAACATGTTCAAGTACTTGTTAATGACCAAGTACTTGTTACGTACTATTGGCACCTCATTGTCACTGTATGTATGATTATATAACTACTTTTCTAACAGAACACAGTTTTTATGGGATACAATCACTAGTTTTATCACTAGGCATTATCAAAGGGAGTTTTCGCTTGTTAAAGGGCTAATCCCGATTATTTTTTGGAGAATAAAACTGCTTGATTTTGTGTTAAAATCCCTTAAAATCAACTAACCCAATATTTGTGATACGTTTTCAAACAATTTAAACCTTATGTTAGTCCCAAATGACCTAGTATTTCTTTGTCCTGAGGTCGTGTGTGCCGGTAAAAGAACCCTTGAAAGTTAGAATTTGAAATAAGAGTAGGCCATAGTCCTGCTGTCTAAGTAAAAAATTCCCTCATAGCCCCCTGCATGGTATATGCCCATATATATTATCAGGCACGGATCCCTATTTTTGGTAGTGGCGAACAATTTTTTGCCCCATATATTCTCACGGGAAAGGAGAACAAAAATACCTAAAAATGGTAGTGATCTCCATCGTAAGTCGGCGGTCCCTGTGTCCTTGTGTGGTGACTTGGTTGATTGGCCGTCAGTCTGCCCACTGAGGGCCGTGCTTCACACTCCAAAGTGGGGGCAGCAGCCCCCCCCCCCCCTTTCTGAAAATCCTGGATCCGCCCCTGATTATCCCAGTTGGTGTGGAAATGTAGGAAGTTAAACCCCCATTTTGTTTCAGATAATATCAGTACAAGTTTCTTAAACTAACAAATCCCTGGTTGTACGTGACAAAGAGTATGGTCGCCTATCAAGAAGTCGATTATTTATTGTATAAATGGAAATTATTTTAAATTTGATGTGAATTAAAGGCATCATTTTAAGAAAATGAAAACACGAAAATATATTATTTTTTTGTTGGTATAATTGTGCATATTATTGAGTGCTTGAAAAATCTTATATCTTAAATGGTTTTCATGGTGATTCAGTTGGCTTGAATATGGCTGGTTTCCATGGTGATTCAGTTGGCTTGAATATGGCTGGTTTCCATGGTGATTCGGTTGACTTGAATATGGCTGGTTTCCATGGTGATTCGGTTGACTTGAATATGGCTGATTTCCATGGTGATTAAGTTGGCTTGAATATGGCTGGTGTCCATGGTGATTAGGTTGGCTTGAATATGGCTGGTTTCCCTGGTGATTATGTTGGCTAGAATATGGCTGGTGTCCATGGTGATTCAGTTGACTGGTATCCATGATGATTCAGTTGTCCTTATTTATAAGAGTGATATGTATAATCTATTTATTGTATATATAAATATATATAATTAATAATACCTTGTTTTAAAATTGATGTTAATAAACGCATCATTTTAAACTGTAATAATAAAATTGTACAGAATACACAGTCTATAGCATACTTTGTTTCGGTTATGCTGAATAGACATACCTTTCTGTGTAAATACAAAACACAAAGTTCTGATATTAAAACCAATGTTGTGATTTTATGTTTAATGCCAAATTGTATAATAATAATAATAATGATGATTCTTGTGAAATATCTTCTCTTTTTTTTTCATCAGTGGATATATATAATGATATTACATTGTTTTTGCATGTATATTAAATTCACAAATTGTCATTGTAATCCGTGTTTGGTTTGAATAGCCTGGGGCCTGTTTCACGAAATTTTAACTAAGATAAAATCCAAATTTTAGTAATTTGATTGGATAATATTAGATTGATTTTAGTGCTTAGCCAATGAAAATTGAAATATCTATTAAAATTTGGATTTTATCTTTAGTTGAGATTTCGAGAAACAGGGCCCTGATATTTAAAATATCATCAATTATTTGATGGATTTCGGTACATCGAGGTGGGAGTTTCACATTCCCTTAGAGGAGGCAAATTTGACAAATTTCAAAAAAAAAGGGATAGAGTTGTTCATGAGATAAGCAAATTCTACAAATAGCAAAGGGGATCACGTGGCTAAGTGGGTAAGACGCTAGCTCGCTAGTCTGGAGGTCGGGTGTTCGATCCCTGCATTGGCCGAGAAAGTTCATCCAGATTTTCCGGCGTGGTTCTCCCTTGTCAGTGATGCAGGACGGAGGGGGCTGACAAGGAAAGCTGTCTAGTCGTTCGGATGGGACGAAAAACCGAGGTCCCCTGTACACATTGGCGTGCACGTAAAAGATCCCTTGGCAGTTGGAATTCGATATAAGAGTAGGCCGTAGTGCCGCTGTCCGGGCAAAAATTTCCCTCATAGCACACTGTATGGCGTATGCCCGTCTTCATTAGCCCAGGTTAGGAGCAGAACAGTAGGACGTTAAACTCCATTTCATTTCATTTCATTTACAAATAGCAAAACAGGGAACAAGATGGAGATGCTGCGTAAAGAGAGGCAAATACTATATGTTCAGACATACTCGACTACCACACTTCTTTGTCTTTCTAATGGCAGGGGTGGGGGGTGGATGGCCGAATGGTTGGCACGTGCGCGTTGTATCATAAGGTGTGGTTTTTATTCCTCGGTTGTATGTGACAAGGAGTAGGGTCGCCTGTCCAACCTCGTGGGTTTCCTCCCACTGCTAAAGACCCCTACGCGCAAGCTTATTATTGAAATAAAATTGCACCATGTGTTAATCCCAAAATGACATAATTTTTGCAAGTGGATGTTAAACCCCATTTCTCTCTCTCTGTTCCCCAAGTTTAAGCCCAGATCTTGACAGTACTCTATGGTAGCTCAGCGATGAAGGTGCTGCCACACTAATTTCAAGAGGTCATGGTATCAATCCAAGTATTTGCTGCAAAAGATTCTCAGCATGAAGGACGGAGGGGCTTGACAACGACAGCAGTCTAGTCGTTCAGATGGGACAAAAGAATCAAGGTCCTGTGTATACATTGGGTGCACATAAAAGATATCTTGGCAGGTTGATTTCAATATAAGAGTAGTCCGTGGTGCCGGTGCTCAAGCAAAATTTCCCTGGTGATGGCTTACTAACCCTTCGGATAGCAGGTGGGATGCTGGTGTTGGACAAGAAAGATCCTTGTGATTTTCGGACATGGTTTCTCCTTGTCAGTTGTACGAGACGGGTGGGGTGGCAAGGAACAAAGTCTAGTTGTTCGTATGAGATGAAAAAACCTAGGCCTTGTGTACACATAAAAGAATCCTGGACTGTTGGAATTCGAACTAAAGAGTAGGCTGTAGCACCGCTGTCCAGGTAAAATATCCCCTCATAGCACACTGCACACTGTAGGTCTGTCTTCATTAGGACCAGGCACCAGTTTCACAAAGCATTCTCAGACTTAAGTGAAGAATTTACTCAACTTTCGATTACTGTTTATGAGAAATATCTTTGATCCAGAAACACAAAACTAGGCACATAGTTTTTTTATTGATGTACCGGTATTTGATACATTAAAACAGAAGTTTTCTAAAGGGCTATATATTTTTGTTAAAATAAGGCGAACAAATTTGAGTAAATTCTTAACTTAAGTCTGGCAAGTTCCCATGTACACGCTGGCAGTCACGTAAAAGAACCCTGTGACAGTTGGAATTTGAAATAAGAGTAGGCTGTAGTGCCGCTGTCTGGGAAAATGTCTATCATAGCACTAGCTTGACGTATTCCTGTCTTCCATAGCCTTGTCAATGCAGAAAAATAGGTCCTGTCATTGAGTCAACTGGCGTGGTTTCGAATCCCCGGTTTTACATGACAAGGAGTAGGGTTGCCTGTCCAACCTCGTTGGTTTTCTCCGGGTCCTCCGGTTTCCTCCCACTGCTAAAGACCCCTACGCACAAGCGAATTATTGAAATAAAATTAAACCATATGTTAGTCCCGAAATGACCTAGTCTGTGTCGAGTGGCCGTTAAACCCCATTTCTCTCTCTCTCTCCACGGGATTTTCCAACCTGCTTTCCTTTGTCAGTGGTGCAGGTTGAAGACCATGCCAAGGAAAAGTGTCAAGTCATAAGGAAGGAAGGTACGTTAAACCCAATTTCTCTCTCTCTCTCCCCACCATCCAAGCAAAATTTCCCTCATAGCACACTGCATGGTCCTCATTAGCCCGGTTGGAACAGAAAAGTAGAATGTTACAGACCATCTCATTTTATATTTATATAAGGCAATCAATAACAATCATATGTATATATACACACAGTTCAATAAGGCTATCGATCAAAATCAATCATATATACACACATTTCAATAAGCAATAATAATAAAGCTATACAAAATTAATATTCTTGTTCCCAGACAATTCTTCATAAAAATCTGATGTGGGAGGAAGGTTTTTATTTGTCGAAGGATCACTACTGGGCTAAATGAATTCTCAAATCACGTTATAAGACACTATATTTATCTCATCATGTTGTTTATAGGAATGTATGATTATCCAGTATCATTCATGATTATCCAGTAACATTTATCTCATCAAGTTGTTTATAGGAATGTATGATTATCCAGTATCATTTATATCATCATGTTGTTTATAGTAATGTATGATTATCCAGTATCATTTATCTCATCATGTTGTCTATAGGAATGTATGATTATCCAGTATCATTTATTTCATCATGTTGTTTTATAGGAATGTAGGATTATCCAGTATCATTCATGATTATCCAGTGACATTTATTTCACCATGTTGCTTAAAGAAATGTAGGATTATTATCCAGTGTGATTTATGATTGTTAATAACATTTATTAACATTTTTATTTCCTGTAACTGACTGAAAATATTTACATGAGGTAATTAATGAAATAAAAACAGGTCATGCCACCCTTTTGTAAGTGATGCAGGATTATCTGGAAACCTGATTATTTTTTTGGGTATGGCCTAAGAAGTTTTAAAAAATCAAATGCAAATATTTACATATTGATGATATGTGTACAAGAAGAATACCGGTATAATAAAATTAATTTATATGTATATACAAATAAATTATATGGTATAAGGCTTTAATATACAAGGGGGTGGGGGTAGGACGGTCAATGGTTAGCATGTGCGCGCTGTATCATAAGGTCTGTCATTCAGTCAACTGGCATGGTTTCGAATCCCCGGTTGTACGTGACAAGGACTAGGGTCGCCTGTCCAACCTCGTGGGTTATCTCTGGGATCCTCCGGTTTCCTCCCACTGCTAAAGACCCCTACACACAAGCGAATTATTGAGCTAACTAAAATTGAACCATATGTTAGTCCCGAAATGACCTAGTTTGTGTCAAGTGGACATTAAACCCCATTTCACTCTCTCTTTAATATACATTGTGACCTTGTCATCGTTTGAAGGTGGTGTAGTATTATTTAAAATGGTTCGTCTTCATTAGCCAACACTCAATAAAAGCCTTCATAATTTAACGTATATCTACAGAAGCATCCAGTACCACCAGAGAGAAACAAACAAATGGTCGAATTGTATTTCAATAATTCACATTTCATGTAGGGGTCTTTAACTGTGGGAGGAAATCAGTGGACCCCGAGAAAACCTATTCGACTGGGAGGGTCGAGACCCTATTCCTTGTCAGGTCCAAGCTTAGGGTCGGAACCACGCGATTTGACTCAATGACAAACCTTATGATGTTATGAGCGTAACTGCACCTGCCCAACCCAACCATAAACCATGGCCACCCCATAGTTTGATAAAACTCTGAAAAGTAGGAAGATGAACCCCATTTCATTTAAAATGGCAGTCATGTGATGATTTTATAGAAATGCACTTGTGGTGTGATAGTGTTATCTGTATATAAGTTGTTTAAAGATCTCAAGCGAGATATTTCACAATATATTCATACTAACACTCTCGCGTAGCATCACTTTTTTTTTTACTTAAAGATACATTACGTATGTAGGAGCTAAATCTGCTTATTGCGGGTATTTTTTCTCTGGCTTCAAATCTTGATTATTTATTCACATGAAAGTCTATAATCAACTCTCTAGACCATCGGATGGCTGAGATTTAAATGGATTTAAACACGCGCAAGATTTCAATAATTAACGATAAAATGGATAATCAAGACTTAGTCTTGGTTGTCAAGTACTGTTGCTACATCTTCAAATAGTCATAACTTCACCCAGAATAAAGTAATTTGAATGAAATTTTCAGTATATTCATATTTAATTATCTATTTTTAAACTAATATAGCAAGAATGACCAGCTCTTTATCTAAATCTTACATAATGCATCTTTAATATAGCAAGAACGACCAGCTCTTTATTTAAATCTTACATAATGCATCTTTATTCTTGCTCTCAACATTTAGATCACAAATAGATATACTCCAATATTCTTCTTTTTTCGATTTTGTTTTTTGGTATAAAATAACTATTGCAGGTGGCCCCATAATTATTTTATCACAATTAACGTGTTTACACTTTAAGTCTGGTTGATCTTGATAATTTAATAAATAGTTAAAATATGATACAATGTCGTCCAGTAGATACTATGTTGTCTGTACTTTACTTGAGATGACATCATAAAAGCCTGCAAAAAATCTTTAATAGTTAAAATTTCACTGTGAAGAGATAGATACAGAGAAATGGGCTTTAACTGTCATTTCGGGACTAACACATGGTTAAATTTTATTTTAATAATTCACAATCACGTAGGGGTTTTTAGCAGTGGGAGGAAATCGGGGGATCCGGAGAAAAACCCACAAGATTGGACAAACGACCCTGCTCTTTGTCACATACAAGCAGGGAATCGAAAGCACACCACTTGACTCAATGAAAGACCTTATGATTTCACATGCACCTGTTAAACCACTCGACCCCCCCCCCCCACCCACCCCCCAAGAACAGAGGGCCTGGCAAGGAACCACTTATACTCATTCAGATGTAACGAAAAACCAAACTCCGGTGACAGTTGGAATTGGATCAAGAGTAGGCAAAAACGCCGCTACCCACACAAAATTTCCCTCACAGCACACTGTATGGCATATTCCCGTCTTCATTTTCCCAGTCGGTGCAGAACAGTAGGACGTTAAACCACATTACATTTCCAAACGTCAAGACTCACCTTTTTAAAGAAAATTTCTTTTCACCGAATACTCGAATGAGGAATCTGCCTTCAATATGAGGTTGAAACATGGAAGGTATAATAACATAATGTCCAGGAGATAATTCAAAACGACCGCTGACTTCACGATAATTTATATATAATCCCGATCGTCCACGTTCATGATGGGAATGAAAATATCTCTTAGTTAATCTTTCGTTAGGGTTATCAATCTAAAAAAATAACGTAAAGGTATTTTAATACACATATTAACAATAGTCTATAATTCAATATTATGTTTACCTAAGGCAGTGATTATCAACCAGTGTGCCGCGAAATTTTGAACGGCACACTAAGAAAATGTGAAAAAAACATGCGATCCCAATTTAATATTCACTGGTGTCCACTGATAAGTTCATAGCTGTGTTTTTCTTAAATTTAGGTTGAGTCATTCTATGTGTCTATGACTAGTCTGTGTCTACGGATGTATTCTGTCTGTCTTACCATGTTTTATCATATATATTTAGCCAGGTGTGCCACTATTTTTTTTATGTGTTCCAAGGCAAAAGAAGGTTGAGAACAACTGACCTAAGGTTATCAATATATAAAAGTATTGTAATACATAGAAGTACAATACTATTACTGTAATCTTGTGTATCTAGCACTAATTTCTTTCACATTCGTTTAATATCAAATCTTTGTTTAAAAATTCGTAAAAATCATATAATTTGTACTTTGTTCACTTTAAAACTGACTGATTAATTTTGATAATGAGTGTTCAATTTACAAGCGTTTAATTTCTTGATCATTTCATTTCTTCATGGGTGCAGGAAAGTAAGGATGTTATGTAACACTTTGGTCCTTAAGACAATATTGGGTCTTTGAAAAATTGTTGCTTCACTCTTTCTATAGAGTCAAATCTCACGCACTAATAAAAGCGGACGACATGTTTATATGTAAAAAAAACAGTGATATTTTAATAAAATCCTAACCATTGTCAAAATATCCATCAAGTTATATCTGTTTATTGACCTATGGTTGGTAGACCAAATAAGGTAATGTTCTCCCCCCTGGTCTTGGGAAATGGGGAGGTTTATTCCATATTTGGTATGGAAGTTAACGTCAAGGACAATCTAGGACGTGCAGAAATTAGGGGGTTACAAAGGAAGGTGTTGAGCGAGACGGGTCAGAGCTCACCCAGGTATTCCGAGCAGCTATTATTTATTGAGAACGAGGGGCCTTCGAAGCCATTCGAGCTTAACAATAAAGTTGTAGAAACCATTCAACCTGTAGTGTTATATATTGCGATCACGAAGAAAACAAACACAACAAGGAAGTCTGATATTACTACAGTTAAACCCCTATTTCATCATTACCTCATATAGAGAGAGAGAGAGAAATGGGGTTTAACGTCCACTCGACACAAACTAGATCATTTCGGGACTAACATATGGTTTAATTCACTTGCGCATAGGGGTCTTTAGCAGTGGAAGGAAACCGGAGGACCCAGAGAAAACCCACGAGGTTGGACAGGCGATCCTACTCCTTGTTCGAAACCATGCCAGTTGACTCAATGACAGGCTTTATGATACAACGCGCAATTGCTAACCATTCGGCCACCCAACCCCCGTCCTCATATATAACAAAAGCTATTTACATAGCAAACTGAATATTGTATGCCCTTCTTCATGGGTGCAGAAAAGTAGGGATGTTAAACCCCTATTTGATCATTACCTCGTATATAACAAAAGTAGGGATGTTATACCCCCTATTTGATCATTACCTCGTATATAACAAAAGCTATTTGTTGATGTGAATTTTGATCAGCGTCTCGAGTTGGTTTCTGTTCTTGCATTAAAGCTATGACTACACTACACATCCCTTCTAGCTCGGGATCATCTGTCTGCAGATTAAAATCATCTGAAATAATCAATTTAATAAATTCATTCAACAATTTTCAAGGTTCACAGATCGACTTGTTTGTCGAGACTAGCAAGAAGATACCAACAGCTTTCCCAAAATTACGGGCAATCTACGGGGGAAATTTTAATTATAAATATAGCCATGCGTCACTTGCGTGTGTTCCACCCCATAGAAGATCGCAGACAGACCATAAAGACTTTGGGTCCTGCACATAATAAATTTTCACCTGGTTGCTTGCAGCTGGGTTGTGGGTTGTGACCTAGATTTAAAGCAGACACTCCGCTTACCGTTTTTTGACTATCAAATATTTATCTACTAACCTGGTTCAGTTAAAGTTAGTAAATATTGAGGATTATTTGTAAATAAATCTAAATTATTTCTGGATCCACCAGCTGATATACCCTTCCATTGACCACTGATCATCTCCATATGACCTATAAACAACACCAAAATACATATAAAATCAAATGGGGTTAAAGGTCCTACTGTTCTGCTCCGACTGGGCTAATAACGGCGGGCATGAGCAATACAGTGTCCTATGAGGGAAAATTGATTAGACAGCAGCGCTACAGCCTACTCTTATATCGAATTTCAGCTGTCAGTTGATTTTTGATGTACACGCCAATGTGTACATTGGACCTCGGTTTTTTGTTCCATCCGAATAACTAGACAGCTGTCCTTGTTAGGCCCTCCATCTTGCACCAGTGACAAGGGGAAACCACAAAAATACATATAAAACTAACAGAAATAAAATAAAATGGAACTCAATGCCAATCTGTTTAAAACATATATCCTATTTCATTTCGTATTCTAGAATTGAAATATTCTTTTACTTTTTACTTGTCTCCACACCATGAGGATAGTTTTGCTTGGACAGTGACGTCACGATCTCCTCTTACTTCAATTTCTAAATGTCAGGGGGATCTTTAACATGCTACCAATGGTATACAAGGGACCTCAGTTTCTCATCTCTTCCGAATGACAAAACACTTTTTCTCGCCTTTCATCCTGCACAAAGGGACCAGGTAAAATCCCAAGGAACCTGAGGTACACTTTGAGTCTCAATCGACACCAGGTTCGAACATGAAACCTCCTGTTACGCAAGACATCACTGAGCTACAATGGCTCCTTGTACTGTAAATTAGAGCACAGTCTTCGAGTTTACCTCGTATATTGGCTCATATCTTAGAGATAATACACTTCAATAATCATCTAAAGTCAATCCTGCATGTAGTGCGGTTCTCCTACACTTACCAGAGAGAGAGAGAAATGTGGTTTAACATCCACTCGACACAGACTAGGTCATTTCGGGACTAACATATAGTTTAATTTTATTTCAATAATTCGCTTACACGCAGGGGTCTTTAGCAGTGGGAGGAAACTGGAGGACCCGGAGAAAACCCACGAGGTTGGACAGGCAACCCTACTCCTTGTCACGTACACCGGAGATTCGAAACCACGCCAGTTGACTCAATTACAGGCCTTATGATACAGCGCGCACGTGCTAACCATTCGGCCATCCAACCCCCCCCTCTTACATCAATATACGATAAGACCTGATAGGATCACCACGATTAATCCACGATTGAAACCATGATTTCAATCGTAGCGCAAATCGTTAGATAATGTTAAGGTAGGTTTAATCCATGTTTGACAACATGTAGATTCTAAAAAAAAACTGTGGATTTCAGCGAGCCTCGTCTAGTTGTGGTTTCAAACGATGGATAATGGTAATATAGGTTAAAACTCACCAACAGCATCTGAAACTCCATCCCCATCAAAATCAGGTCCTGTTAAACAGATGGTCACTTCTTGAAAATGACGATAAAAATCTTTGAATGACATCCAGAATTCTCCATCATCTTTAGACTGTATATCCATCATACGTTTCGTTTCACTATCAACCCATTTCCAATTAACATCACTGAAAATAATAATATAGCAACGGTTACAATTAACATCACTGAAAATAATAATAAAGCAACGGTTACAAGTAACATCACTGGTCACAATTAACATACTTTTCTGGGAAAGTATCTTTAACATACTTTTATTTTTAGGTATGCTATAACACTGGGAAGTCTAAATGAATATCAAAGCACACAAGGTAAAATTAAAAATGGATTCCTTATTCGGGTAAGATATGTATATTATTATCCTTGACAATTTTATGTTTTTAAATAAAAGTGTAGCTGGTTGTGTCCTGCTGTCGACACAGTAAACCACGATTTAAACTAAAATTACGACGTCTTTCGTATTGTTTATCTATAGCTCATATAGCATAGGTTACAATCAGCAGATGCCGCCACAGATACGAAGACTTGACTGAAATGGGAGTTTCGACAATACAATACGCGTGTAATACGAGGGGGAGAATTTTGAAAGGTCAACAAGGGTTCCGTCTATTCTGATTCAAAGTCCAACTGCCAATTTTATTTCATTAATTCGCTTGTGAGTAGAGATCTTTAGCAGTGTGAGGAAACCGGAGGACACGGAAAAAACAATTGAGGTTGGACAGGTGAAATCGAAACCACGTCACTTAACTCAATGACAGACCTTATGATGCAACGCGCACGTATTAACCATTCAGTTAAATTAAAGGGGCATTATGTAATATTAGATAAAGAGTTGACAGTTCTCATTATAATAGTTAAAAAATAGATAATGAAAAGGGAATATGTTGAAAATTTCAGTCAAATTAAAGGGGCATTATGTAATATTAGATAAAGAGATGACAGTTCTCATTATAATAGTTAAAAAATAGATAATGAAAAGGGAATATGTTGAAAATTTCAGTCAAATTACTTCACTCTGAGCCGAGTTATCAGCGTTAAAAAACAGTGTAGCCTCGATTGTCATTGCTACCATTGTTAAGATAATAAACAAAGTCTTGATTATCCATTTTTAAATTAAATCATTAAATGGTCGAACCGTTCTAATCCACTTAAAATCAGAACCATCCAATGGCATTGAGAGTTGATTATGGTTTTGTCATGTTAATTAATGTCTAATTAATAATTTAGATAACATTTAAGGCCTAAAGGAAGACTTGCAATTGGCAGATTTAGCTCTTGCATAATGTATGTTTAAGGCCTAAAGAAAGACCTGCAATAGGCAGATTTAGCTCTTGTATAATTTATGTTTAAACATACTTATCACTCCAGGAACCCTTCCATTCCGTGGCATCACCCCATGGATTCCGAATTCTCAATAATTTTTCTTCTCCCATCTGATGTTTTATCTGAATTAAAAAGAAACGAAATGAAATGGGGTTTAACGTCCTACTGTTTTGCTCCGACTTGGCTAATGAAGATAGGCATACCCCATACAGTGTGTTATGATGGAAGAAACCGGAGGATCCGGAGAAAAGTCACGAGGTTGGACAGACGACCCTACTCCTTGTCACGTACAACAGGGGAATCAAAACCCAGCCAGTTGACTCAATGACATACCTTGTGATACATCGCGCTAACCATTTGGCCATCCAACTCCCGCCCGGTTCTACTAAAACCATTATATCCAAGTATGCCTACCTTAATAACACTGGTTATTGTATAAGCATGTCCTGATACCAGACCTGTAGCATCAGATTTAGTACTATCACTCCAATCACCCTACAATAAACATAGTTTAATTACATATAAAAATATTCACTTTAAATGAAGTGTGTGTACAAAGTTTCGAAAAAGAATCTTGAATGGTTTATGAGATAAGTTCTGTTTGATACTTAAGTGACGACCATCCACTTGAGAGAGAGTTTAAAGTCCACTTGACACAAACTCGGTCATTTTGGGAATAACATATTGTTCTATCTTATTTCAATAATTTGCTAGCATTTATTACAGGGGTCTTTAACAGTGGGAGGAAACCGGAGAAAACCCACGAAGTTGGATGACTAATACAAGTAACAGACAAACAGAACCGTTCTTTATTTCTCCAATCCCTGTATGATAAGTGCTTAAAGGTCACCAGAAAAGCTTTAGTTTTTTTTTAAATACTGCAAGTAATTATGTCCACATTATGTCAATATTACCTGCAACAGGTTAATTTCAACGTTAGTAATTGCCGTCATTCTCCGTGAATAGTCATGACTGTCCATCAATAAACAATTTGTGACGTCATTTCAATGCTTCTGTTCATATTCTAGTCTATATTTCTATGAACAGATGGACTAAAATGACATTCGGCTTCGTGTTTTACTTATGGAAAGGATATGTTGACATGATTACTTCCATTATTAAAAAAAAAAAAAAATTGAAGCTTTTCTGATGACCTTTAAAGCAAGAATTTCATATTTTCTAAGAAAGTCAAAACATAATTATTTCTATGTCTTTTGCTCAATAGGTTTTCAACTCACTATCATACGATCATAGGTATCATTCTCACACTTAATTCACCCCGGAAATAATAACACAATTACCTCCCTTGTTTTTCTATTACCCCCATGGAATAGCTATCTTCAAACGTTTGAATTTGAAGTTGAAAATGATATTTTTGCCTATTTCTCAACTGGCAATAGTGAATTATAGGATTAATAGGATTATTCTTTAACAAGGTAGGACTGTTTATAGATACCATCTATTTTAAGGCTTTATTTTAAAACATTTTAAAAATATAACTTAAAAATATGAAATTATTGCTTTAAAGCAGAAGGAGAGTTATACTGTTCCGAATACGAATCCAGGATTGAAAGGAACACTTCCCTGTATATATAAATACAACATACCTTTCTTGAACAGGTGATGAAGGCACCGTTTTTATGAGCTCTAAGTATAAGGCGATACATATTTGGATCATATTCTTCTAACATATAACGTTCAGCTAATCCTCCCGTTAAATCGACTAGTGCATCCATTGTTTGTCCTCCTTCTAAAGACTGATAACATCCACGTAATCTGTAAAAAATAGCATAAAATAACATTAAATTTAATCAAATATAAAAAGCATAAAACAACATTAAATATCAATAACCTCAAACAACATTAAATGTAATTAAATATCAATAACCTTAAACAACATTAAATATAACTAAATATCAATAACCTCAAACAACATTAAATGTAATTAAATATCAATAACCTTAAACAACATTAAATATAACTAAATATCAATAACCTCAAACAACATTAAATGTAATTAAATATCAATAACCTTAAACAACATTAAATATAACTAAATATCAATAACCTCAAATAACATTAAATATCAATAACCTCAAACAACATTAAATATATTTAAATATCAATAACCTCAAACAACATTAAATATAATTAAATATCAATAACCTCAAACAACATCACTGGTTTCCAGTGAGCTTTGTCGTGAATGACTGAACCTGGTCATGAACGACGGACTCTCTATCAGAAGACGGCAACCGGACCCCGTATGATGCTAGCCCCACAGGGTCAAAATTTATTACTTACTTGGCATAAGCTTTTTCTATAAGAGCTACCCAGAATTCATTAGCTTCCGTACAGTGTGCATAAATAAGTTCTCTATTTACAGTGGGCAGTCGATCATCAATATAAACTTCAACCCAGTTTCCAAATCTCCAAAATCTAAAACAGACAACTCCTTTATAACCTTGTCCGCACAATGGCTGATCTTTTGGTAAAATCTGAAATGAAATGAAATGGGGTTTAACGTCCTACTGTTCTGCTCTGAACTGGGCTAATGAAGACGGGCATACGCCATACAGTGTGCTATGAGGGAAAATTGACCCGAGACAACAGGTTAATTAGTCAGTGCCATGGTAATCACTAGGTAACCATGGCTCCTAGCCAGTCCCAGGTCAAATCGAAAACAGAATTAATAAAATTTCATGTAATACATGTATAGCAGCTAAAAAGTGGAATGATCTGCCAAAAACCCTTTGAGAGTCCTCTTCCATCCAGAGTTTTAAGACTAACTTAAAAACATACTTATTTCAAAAATGTTTTGAACTGTTTTGTTGTGAATGCGCTTAGAAACACTCATGTGTAATGAAGCACTATATAAATCGAACAATAATAATAATATTGAGAGGAATCTGTCTGTGCAGCAGCATTTCGCATACTCTTCCACCAAGTCCAAATGTTGAGGGTTCTTTTATGTGCACAGCAACATGTTTTTTTTTGTCCCATCCAAACAACTTGGCACACCTTCTTGTCAGTCCTGTAAGTACCACAACTTACAAATGAAGGCCGGGCTTGAAAAATCCTGAAGGATATTCTCGGTCCACACTTGAATTCACACCTAGGACAAGAGGCCAGGGCTCTAACCATTGAAGAAAGGGAAATAAGAATAAGTCTGACGGTGGAATTATTACCACTTCAGAGTTATCCACCACCACTGACAAAATAGGCCGTGTTTGAGAAATTCACACCTAGACAGGAGGCCAAGGCTCTAACCACTGAAGAAAAGGAAACTAGAATAGGTCTGACAGTGGAATTATTACCACTTAAAGAGTTATCCACCCCTGAAAAGGGGATGCTCGATTGTCAGTCCGAAAGGTTCTGAATTGACGGAATTGCAATCGAGTAACACAGAATTCAGTCCTGTCACAGTTCTGTCAGTCCCGACAACGGAGGTGGTGTAAGTAGAATCATGATGTAATTAAACACAACGAATATATTTCAACTGTCATGGATGGTTGAGATTTTTTCACTCGACTGTCACAATTTATGGGATTGACAGAATTCAATTCCAGAACATTCAATCAAGCATTCCCTAAATTAATATCCTATCTGTGAAATTAAATGGGGTTTAACATCCTACTGTTCTGCTCCTAACCTGGGCTAATGAAGACGGACATATGCCATACACTGTGCTATGAGGGAAATTTTGCCCGGGCAGGGGCGCTATGGCCTACTCTTATATCGAATTCCAACTGCCAAGGGATCTTTTACGTGCACGCCAATGTGTACACAGGACCTCAGTTTTTCGTCCCATCTGAACGACTAGACAGCTGTCCTTGTCAGGCCCTCCATCCTGCATCACTGACAAGGGGAAACCTCGCCGGAAAATCTGGATGAACTTTCTCGGCAAATGCAGGGATCGAACACTCGACCTCCAGGCTAGCGAGTCAGCGTCCTACCCACTTAGCCACGTGATCCCCAATATATCTGAAAAAATATTGACAGAAAATTGGTTCTAAATACTAAATACCTAATTACCTATTATTCCACCTTTGGAAGTAAAATAGTACATTACCGTTTTCATAAAGCGTTGTTGTTGTGATACGGCAGCACATGAAGATAAAAACCAACAATCCCCTAAAATCCCCTGTTGTATATCGTCCCTTGTTACACCATCAATCATCATCTCGGGTTCTGTACCATCTAATACCAAATCCTGATCAAATAAATTAAACATTTATATAGCATCTATTCATTCTAAGATACTTTGTGGCGGGGGGTTGGATGGCTGTATGGTTAGCATGTGTGCGTTGTATCATAACGTCTGCCATTGAGTCAACTGGTGTGGTTTTGAATCCCCGGATGAAAGTGACAAGGAGTAGGGTCATCTGTCCAACCTCGTGGGTTCTCTCTGGGTCCTCTGATTTCCTCCCACTGCTAAAGACCCCAACGTGCAAGCCTCAAGTGTATGTTTAACAGCATCTCTCTCTCTCTCTCTCCCTCTCTCTCTCTCTCTCAAATCATGAGGAACATATTCAGCAACCAGGGGATCGAACTCAGGACGAGAATACTGCTTGTAGTCCTTGTTTTACATTTAATTTTAGGGGCAATCACTTGAGTGGTTTATCGAGGTTTAACGCGTGCGGAATAACATTGTACATGACAAGAAGTTGGGTCGCCTGTCCAACCTCGTGGATTTTCTTCAGGTCCTCTAGTTTCCTCCCATTCCCATTGAAATAAAATTGAACCATATGTTAGTCCCAAAATGACCTAGTTTAAACCCCATCTCTCTCTCTCTCTCTGTGTCTACATACCTGAGGACGAATCCATTTTATTACTCTATCATTATGGTAACCATTAAAAAACAAAACTCGGTCATTAGCTGGGAAATGTGGATCACAGTAGAGTTTATTTCGGCTCAATTGGTTACAAATATACTGAACTTGGTTTCTTGTCTGCAATATAAATAATTGCCTCAGGAATTACACATATATACGTGAAAATGACCTTGGCGAATTAGTGAACTAAAATTGAACCATATGTTAGTCCCGAAATGACCTCTCTTTATGCCAAGAAATTGTCATTTTTAATTTAATTTAAAATCGTAAACGCTTCCGTGTCAAAATGTCGCTCAAATGCGAATTCCAAGCATGTTTCGAAGTTGTAACCAAAGCCACCATTATTTCAACAATTATTTTAAATTAAAAATCACCTTTTTTCATTTTAATTTTAAAGGAGCTAAGTCTCTAACTCAATATCATCCAAAATCTTCAACATTGAAAACACGATTTATTTGTCAAATTAAATCAACATTCATGTTGTGATCTTACCGGAATAAGATGGGCTTTTGATATCCAATATTTAAGACAAAATAAACATTTTACCATTGGTACACGAATCGTGTACCATAATGCGCTTCAGCCCCAGTTGTATCAAGAGACTCGAGGGACGAGGCTAGACACATTGCACCAAATCAAAGGCGTATGTAGACTGGAATAACCAGACGCTAGAAATTTGCACTCGCTTGAGAATGCTGGCTTATTTCGCCGAACATAACTGATTTGAAATTGGAGTAAATACGGAAACCATTGAATGTAAATCAGTTTGTATACATTCATATTACAGTATTATATGCGTTGCGACCCACTTTTGTCAATTTCTAGGTCCAAAATGTTAGCCATTTAGCTCCTTTAAATCGTAGTATTTTTGTTTCAAAAATGCCCCTCAAAATGCAATTTCCAAGCAAGTGATTTCATGCAATACACTACACGAGTTATGCCCTTTGGATACAACTTTCAAGCTTGCTTAATTTAGAAATAGCATTTTGGGGGTATTTCTAACACAAAAACGCTATGGTTTTCAACTAAAATTGACAATTTAGCTATAAAGAACAGTATATTATCAAATATTGATATAAATTATTGTGATATGAGTTATAATAATAAATATGGATTTAGTAACAACTTTTTGAGGGGCGTTTTGACACAAAAACATTAGAATTATATGACAATTTGAATTTAGCATAAAGAACGATAATATATTATATTATCAAATATCGATATAAATTGTTGTTTTTTTTATGTTGAAATAATGGTGGATTTCAGTGGATTTGGTTAAATCATGCTATTTCAATGAACGCCACTGACCTCATTCCTTTTCAATGACAATATTGCACGCAGAGATAGGACACTATTTAACTTAAGTCCCCACCGTATCTCACATTGTCATTAGCACCTATGCTATAGCAAAACTAAATTACCGTTAAAATAAATTCATCTTCTATGATGTTGTCGCCATCATCACTGTCAACTGTGATAGAAAAGGATGAAAGTTTTTGTTTCCTCGTTCGAATGCTAAATTTATTGGTCTTATTTTGGATCGAACTCGTAGATCGCCTTTGATTTTGAGATCTGCACACATCCTTATCATTGTTGTTTACTTTTTCACATACAACTTTTGAAGATGAGCTCGCACCGCTTCCCATTTTGCAGCAGACCGCATTTTTTCGGCTGTAAATCTACAATATTTTTAGATTTCAGGCCATTTTTCTTTCACTACGACGTAAACACATGCTTTTGTTTACATTACGACAGGTTGTTGCTAAAATAATCGAGCCGAACTCATTCGTCTCGAAGAATTTCAATGGTTGATCAAAGTCACGTGACCCATAAATCACGCCCACTTCGAGACAACCCGATGCATTTTTAATGCAGAGCTTTTGGGAATTCCCCTTTGATGTTGTCTTTGATATAATTGCTCATAGATATTGCATAGATTAATAAACGCTTAATACTCGAATAATTGTTTGATTATATTCTTTTTAAAATTATATTCTTATTTGGTATGAAATTATCAAATTACATAACCAACTAGTCCTTTATATATATCAATAATTTCATGCAGGTCTTTTTTTTACATCATCATTATCATTATCGGTATAGTTACGTAACTAGCGCTTTTATACATTATGCAATGCAATCATCATTATACATATTCAATAATAGTCTCTATCATCCAGAAAAAATATTCTACGTTGAAGACTAATAGGTAATGGGTGACCGAGACTTATATACATTACGGTAGGCAATGCAATTATCATGTTGTATATGCATATTTAATTAGCTCATTTGATTTTAATTGCTTTTTTTTTTTACATCATTCAGTATGCAATTATAGAATTACATAACTAGCTATCGTGGCAATATGCGATTTATTATTTATTTATATATTCAATTAGCTCATTTTTTACAAAGGGGTTTAATTGTAGGCTATTTTTGACATCAGTATCGTGCTAGATTTTTGAACAACAGAATTTAATACTGATTTATATAGTTGATTCTCTTGTTTGAAAGGTGAGCAGTGTGGGAGAGGTAAGAGGGTAATAAATTGGTTTCTAATTTTTAATTGAAAGTGTTCATTATTGAAATATTATATCCTTGGTACACTATTATAAATTCTCAATCCTGGCCATTTGGGGTGGGGGGGGGAGTGAGAGAGAGAGAGAGAATGAGAGAGAGGGAGAGATCCACTCAACACAAACTAGGCCATTTTAAGACTAACATATGGTTCAACTTTATTTCAATAATTCACTTACGCATAGGGGTCTTACTCTTTAGCAGTGAGGGGAAACCGGAGTGTCCAGAGAAAACCCATGAGGTTGGACAAGCGACCCTACTCCTTGTCACGTACAACCGGGAATCGACAATACAAGTTGCTAACCATTCAGCTATCCCCCCCCCCACACCAGAGAAAAATGACCCAGTTTGTGTCAAGTGGACTTAAAACCCCATTTCTCTCTCTTTTAGGTTTCAGAGTTTAGCAGAGAGAGAAATGGGGTTTAATGTCCACTATCAGAACTATCATATGGTTCAATTTTATTTCAATAATTCGCTAGCGTGTAGGGGTCTTTAGCAGTGGGAGAAAACTGGAGGGCCTGGAGAAAACCCACAAGGTTGGACAGCTTGTATTACTAAACATCATTAGAAAGAATTCAATGTACTGATATACAAAAGTTGTCCTTAAAGGGGCATTATGGTAGATTAGATAAAGGGCTGGCGGTTCTCACTATCATAGATAAAAACTAGATAATGTAAAGGGAATATGCTGAACATTTCAGTCAAATTGCTCCACTCTGAACCGATATATTAGAGATTTAATTTTTTGTCCTAGCCTCGATCATCATTACTAAAGTCACCATCATTACTAAAGTCGGTACGATAAAAAACATAGTCTCGATTATCCATTTTTGGATTTAATCATCAATGAGCATTGAGCAGCAGATCAGATACAAATCCAGTAAATATCTCAGACTAGCGATGACATCAAGAGTTGATTATGGTCTGGATAAGTTAATTAATGTCTCATTAATAATTCAGATAACATTTCAGGCCTAAAGAAAGACCCGCAATAGGCAGATTTAGCTCTTGCATAATGTATGTTTAAGTTGAATATTTAAAAAAACAACAACAGGGAGTGATGATGAATGAATTTTATTTGATTGACAGATACTAACAGTCAACAAATCAATATATTTACACAGAGTGCCATTAATTTGACATGCCTTAAAAGTTTGTAAAATGTTCGTATTTCAAAATTAATATATTCAATGATTCCATGTAACATATTACTTTTTCTTTTTTCTATTTAAACCGTATACTGAACACTGCTGATTGTCATTTGCTTTTGTTGCACAATATCTAATTTGTTACGACGTAATCCAAGCCAATATGTACTCAAAGTGACGCAATCCAAGCCAATATGTACTCAAAGTGACGCAATCCAAGCCAATATGTACTCAAAGTGACGCAATCCAAGCCAATATGTACTCAAAGTGACACAATCCAAGCCAATATTTACTCAAAGTGACGCAATCCAAGCCAATATGTACTCAAAGTGACGCAATCCAAGCCAATATGTACTCAAAGTGACGCAATCCGAGCCAATATGTACTCAGATTGCGTTTTAAAAACATCAGTAAGATTAACATATTCGTATAACATCAGTACAAAACACGAGACAACTTACAGAATTTTAAATGAAATATTCTTTTTATATGGCATGAACAAAAAACAAACAAGCGTAAGCCACTAGAAACATCAATGCTGATCAATTGATTAATCAATGTCTAATGTCATAAAGCCACTCGTATGACACCTGATACAACCTCCCACTACAACTGGTCAGATCTTCATGTAGTGTAGGTCATCGAAAGTATAAAAAAAAACCGAAAGATAGATCTGTATTTTAATCAGATTAAAACACTGGAAAATGTTTTCTCCAATTGAAGCATACTTAAAGTATTCTTCAAAATTCTGGTTATCCACAAAGACAATACTGATATTCCATTTTATGATTCATCATAGGCGTACAGGGAAATTTTTGACTGGGGGGGCGGTGGTGGTTGGTGCCCCAAAAATGTAGTTAGGTTCTTAGTATGTTACATATATAATAATAAATTCGCCTATGCGATTCATCATATAACACATATACCATTACATTAGTCAAGGTGAGCTGTTTCCGATTTCAAACATGCTTTTAAGCTCATATGTAATATATTAATTTTACTCCCATTTCAAATCAATCATGAATTGTCTGGAAAAGTACATTGTATTAGTCAAGGTGAGCTGTTTCCAATTTCAAAGATGCTTTCAAGCTCACATGTAATATATTAACTTTACTCCCATTTCAATGTCAATCACAAAGTCTCTGGAAAAGTACATTGTATTAGTTAAGGTGAGCTGTTTCCAATTTCAAAGATGTTTTCAAGCTCACAAATATGAAATTTACTCTCATTAGAATGTCAATCACAAGTCTCTGGAAAAGTACATGGTAAAAGTCAAAGGGAGCTGTTTTTGACTTAAAGCACCCATATATTAATTTAATTCCCATTCCAATTCCAATGATGAAGTCAATCACGCGACGTTTGTCTCGGTGGTAGATTTCGCCTGCACTGCGGCCATATTTTTCTTGTAACATGACAAACTACAGAGAGGAACACCAGTTTTAGAACAGGAATATTTCTTGGTATTACGACATCCAGTCACTCCACATTTAACGGCAGGCTTTGGTGGTCTGAAATATAAAATCATTACTGCATATTAGCTCTTGGACTGCCTGAAACCTTCCCAAAACTTTCCATAAGTATGTGTTTTTGTTGTTATCCCAAAACTAGTTATCCTTAGGCTATCCCTAACATCCCCTCGACACAAACTAAGTCATCGTGTGACTAACACATGGTTTAATTTTAATTCAACAGTTACACAGTGTATATAGTCCTATATCATACCACCCATGTTTTATAATACACAATTTTATACATTGTATATAGTCCTCTATATCATACCTCCCATATTTTACAATACACGATTCTATACACAGTGTATATAGCCCTATATCATACCACCCATAATACACAATGTTACACAGTGTATATAGCCCTATATCATACCTCCCATGATACACAATGTTACACAGTGTATATAGCCCTATATCATACCACCCATGTTTTATGATACACAATGTTACACAGTGTATATACCGTAGTCCTATATCATACCTTCCATGTTTTATAATACACAATGTTACACAGTGTATAAGGCCTATATCATACCTTTCAGGTTTTATAATGCACAATGTTACAGTGTATGAAAGTCCTATATCATACCTCCCATGTTTTATAATACACAATGTTACACAGTGTATATAGCCCTATATCATACCTCCCATGTTTTACAATACACGATGTTACACAGTGTATATAGCCCTATATCATACAGCCCACGATACACAATGTTACACAGTGTATATAGCCCTATATCATACCTCCCATGTTTTACAATACACAATGTTACACAGTGTATATAGCCCTATATCATACCGCCCATGATACACAATATTACACAGTGTGTATAGCCCTATATCATACCTCCCATATTTTATGATACACAATTCATACAGTGTGCATAAGAAATGAAGTGTGGTTTAACATCATACTTCTCTGCTCCATCCGGGCTAATAAAAACAGGCAAATCTCTCAATCCCATTTAATACCAAAACAATTTTGTCTCCACATTCTCTCTTTTAATACAAAACAATGTCTTCATAAAAATATATTAAAAGTCAACTAAAAATGTTCCAATGAATGACAACTTACGCTTTAGGTGGTTGTGGAACGAACGGTAGATTGAAGCCTTGAGGGATGGATATAGTATTACCATCACGTTTTAACGAATAACGAACTCTGGGAATATTAGAACGCTTTGATCCTCTACCCTGTTATAAATAAACAAAAATAACATTTTCATAAAAAATGATTCAAGATTTTTTACATAAAATATATTTCATAAAAGATTCATGAACATTTTCATAAGATATACATGATTTTAACATATAAGATATTCATTATTTTAACATAAAAGATATTCATGATTTTATCATAAAAAGATATTCATGATTTTATCATAAAATATATTCATGATTTTATCATAAAAGATATTCATGATTTTAACATAAAAGATATTCACGATTTTATCATCAATAAAAGATATTCAGGATTTTATCATAAAAATATATTCAGGATTTTATCATAAAAGATATTCAGGGGGTCTGCTTTACAAATTTACTTCTCATGCAAGAGCCTCAGGGAATTTTGGGTCTGACTGTACACTGTACAGTCTACATGTATTGTTGATTTGCCCATATCACATTTATATCATCTCCAGGGGAGGTTGAAATTGACCAATTTTCAATTCATCATAATTTTATAAATAAGAATTAAAGCATTTTTGGAGTGATATTCCCCCCCCCCCCCCAAAAAAAGAAAAATTTGAAAGTTTCTGTCAAATTACTTTATTCTGAGCTAAGTTATCACTGTTTGTAGTTTTGACAAGATGTATGTATCGATTGCGTATTAACATATCCATGGTACTCGTATAATCGAGCCTTAGCCTCACTTCTCCATTTTTAAATTAAATTATTAAACGACAATCTTGTTTCAACCCATTGGAATTCTCTAGCATCCGATGTTCTAGAGAGTGGATTATGGTTTTGTCTAATTAAAAATTTCTATTCCAGTAAACATTGCAGGCTAGCGATGCCATCGAGAGTTGAGAATAGATAAGTTAACTAATGTCTAATTAATAATTTAGATAACATTTCAGTCCTAAAGAAAGACCTGCAATAGGCAGCTTTAGCTCTTTCATAATGTATGTTTAATAATTTATATAACATTTCAGGCCTAAAGAAAGACCTGCAATAGGCAGATTTACGAGCTCTTGAATAATGTATGTTTAAAAAACTTTTACCTTTTTTGCTCTGGAATCTTGTTTCTTCAACAATCTGTCCAATGTCTGTTTCTATTTGATCAAATATAAATAACATGTTTAAATAACATTTTAATAATTGGTCATATTAAATAAAAAACAAAACTTATTGCTACTATACACAAATCACAATCTGATTAAAACACAGTTTCTATTTCTTTTCGTTTTTTTATAGTTCAAAATTTCATTTTACTTGGTTAATCAAACGAAATACATATAGATGTGTATTTTACTCAGATTGTAGAATACATAAATTCAGTAATTGTAGTCCATATATTTTTGTTTTACTTTTTATAAATTAATAGATATGTAAAGATCACCGCACAAATTAATCATTTGATTAACATGGATGAACCTGAAACATTCTGAAGATGAAACATTCTCTCTGCCGGCATCATCGTTTGATCCAGCAGCTATACAGATTTACTAGCCTCTGGTACTCTTTCAAGAGAGAGAGAGAGAGAGAGAGAGAGAGAGAGAGAGAGAGAGAGCGAGCAAGAGAGAAATGGGGTTTAATGTCCACTTGACACAAACTAGGTCATTTCAGAACTAACACATGGTTCAATTTTAATTTCAATAATTCGCTTGCGCTTAGGGGTCTTTAGCAGTGGGAGGAAACCGGCGGACCCGGAGAAAACCCACGAGGTTGGACGGGCAACCCTATTACCTTGTCACGTACAACCAGCGAATTGAAACCACGTCAGTTGTCATCCAACTCCCAAGAAGAGGGGGTCAAGAAGAGTTCTCACACAACAGATTAAAATTCATTTATTTTAAATATATTTATATTCTGGCCTGAATAACTAACTTATCTTGCTATTTATATTCTGGCATGAATAACTACGGTAACTCAATCTGATTTATGCATAAATTATTTACTTTGTCTTTTTCTCGTTTTTCTTGAGCTTGTTGTCGTCGTTTTTTAGCTCTCTGTTGTCTTCTTTGTAATTGTTCTTCAGTTAATTCTACTGTCTTATATCCTATAGACATTAAAATCGATCAAATGATATTGTATTATATATACCTCAATAATAGTGTTAATATTGCATTAACATATCGTCAAGCAAAATGACTTAATTTAATTACAAGACTTATGTCTACCCACCACAGTATTTATGCCACACTAAAATATAGGTGTAAAAACAATCCAAGACATTTAATTTAGTTCACAGAGACAAATAGGGTTTAACGGAAAAAAAACAACCCAGTAAGACAGTCAACCAGACTCCTTGTCACATTAAAGGATTGAACCCAGAGACAAGGACAACATACCTTATGATCTACAGCAGCATATTACCCCCCCCTCCCCCACAAGTTATGAATAAATATGAACAGTGATGTGATGAAAGTACACAATCACATATTAATAATAAAACTATTTACCTGATGGTAATTGTAATAATTCTTTATCTTGTGGTCCATGTAATAAAGCTTTCTGTAACAATAAATTATGTCAGATCATTATAATATATGCTAAAACCCTCTCTGTGAAAAAGCAACACGCTAATTCATTATAATTTATGCTAATAACGCTTTCTGTAACAAAACATCAGGCCAGATCATTATAATTCTCCCGTCAAAAGACAACACCTAGTAACTCATGCTTTTCTTATTTTGAGAAAGTAAAGAAAAACGTAATGAATGAATATTAAACCCCAGCTTATCCATTGACTTGACTATTGAGTTACTAGCTTTTTCTGTGGCATACTAGGTAAATGAATGAAGTTGCTAGGTTGTGTCATGGGTGTAACTGCTTACAAAATCAAAAGATTGGAAATCTAGTACAACAACAGAAAGCACATACCCTAGTAACTACAAATTTGGCCCTAACTCAATTTTGATAAAAAAAAGTGAGTTACTAGGTTTTGACTTTTGATGGGAGAATTGATAGAAAGATAATTAATATTCCTCACCATTCATTTCCACAATATCATCTTATCTAATTGGGAAAGTGCTGTTCAATCCTGTGAAACAATTTAAGACAACTTCTATATATTATACATTGATGCCGGGTATTGCCACTGCAGTAATGATACGATACGTATTGCAATTCAGGTGCTACGATACGATTTGTATCACGATTCATAACCAGGTCAATATTTACCAAGAAAATAACAGGATAAATATATAAGAAATGTCGAAGAAATAAAATTGTTTTATATCCCGATATTGATGTGGATCAAAATAAGAACCAAAACAATTTAAGAGTGGATAATGTGTGCCGTTGATAATTAAAAATGACAGGTTACTTACTGAAGCGACAAAAAAACATAACAAAAGAATCAAGATAAATTGATACGCGAATCGATTCAACGATATGAATTTTATCTGATGTCACCCTCAAGCCTGGAAATAGTGCACCTGTCACAGACAATGTTAGGCACAGATTCAGGCTTTGTCAGGCACTAAACCTGATTTGACTATTTTAATTGATATTATTAATACATGTTGAAAATGTCCGGTCCTATTTCATTAGTGGCTGACATTTTGTCAGGTACGTCTAAAACTGTTATTTCCAGGCCTGGTCACCCCAAAGGGGGACGTAAAACTAAAACTCCGAGAAGAATCTGAAAACAATAAATATTGTAACTTTACCTGTCTGGTTGTTAAAGGTTTTGTGTTTGCATTTTTCTTAATTTCACCGTAATCATCTAATTCTCCGGCCTCCAGAGCATCTAACCATTGTTTCTCCTCATCAGACGTATCTTCTCCGGATTTCTTCGTGTGGAAAGTGTCATCCAACTTGTCACCTTAATTAATTGAAAATCATTAAATTCCTTGGGGAAGCTCGATTGTCAGTCCAGAACGTCCCAAATTGACGGGGTGGGGGGTGGATAGCTGAATGGTATCATAAAGTCTGTCAACTGGTGTGGTTTCAATTCCCCAGTTGTACGTGACAAGAAGTAGGGTCATCTGTCCGACTTTGTGGGTTTCCCCTGACTGCTAAAGACCCCTACGCGCAAGCAAATTATTGAAATAAAATTGAACCATGTGTTTGCCCGAAATGACCTAGTTTGTGTCGTGTGAACATTAAACATATATTAATATTGCACGAATGCTATATCTATATATTAGGCAATGTCTTCCACAAGACCATTAAACAACTTAAAAAACAGACACTATCCAGCACGTGTATTTCAATGAAAACCATCTCACAGGTCCAAAATTTCAACTAGTATCTGTATTTTAAATATATATATTAAGTTTACCTTCCCAGGGAGTAGTAACAGAACCACCAGTACCGGTATCTGTAACATTAATAACAGGTTCTTCTACCAGGAAAGAGCTGGACGAATTATCATCAATAGCTGGTGTAATGCTGTCAATATGAAACAAAACATTCTTCATCATATTCTAAATATCATAGGTTTTTAGTCCATCCATACAACCAGAGATTGTGCCTTGCCAGGCCCCAAGTCCTGCAACATTGACAGGAGGAAAAATATGCAGAAAATTCCAGAGGAATATTCTCAGTCAACAGCAGGATCGAATCCAGAACCTCCTGCTTTAGTCACTAGTCCGCAAACACTGTATACTCACAGAGCCAGAGTGGTTCCCCTTTAACATAAATGGGACTACTGAAATTAAAATATGATTGATTTATTTGAAATAATGGTATGCCAACAAAGGATGATGCCACATCGGTATTTTAATATAATTTATTCTAGGGAACATTCTCTGAAAAATTCAGAGAAACATTCTCAATCAACACCGGGATTGCACCCGGAACCTTCTGTTTAGTCAGCCAACATCAATATACTCACCCAGTCAAATCAGAAAAATAGAACATTAAACCCCAATTCATTTCCAATATACTTAAGGATTCAAAGTGGCTCCATTTTCAGGGCTGCTACAAAAGAACTTACTCTTTAGTTCCTAAAGTTTCTCCTCCAATCTTTAATTTTAGTCTAATGGCCGGTTTAACGGGCGTAGTCTCAGAGGTTGATTCAAAACTTTCATCAAGATCTCGATCCTTCTTCTTCTTGTGCTTCTTTTTGTGTTTCTTATGTTTCTTGTGAGAACTTCCTGGAGATTCTAAAACAAAAATGGTTAAAGGATTTAAGCGAGAGGTATCCGTCGTTGCGAACCTATGACACATGTAGCTCCAAATACCAAGTATTTTCCCAGTTTTTTATAATAATGAGGTGGCATTTGATAGTACTGGTCAGAATTAGTAGGTATTTTTATTTGGTGGTATTAACTCGTTGTTATATTGAAAACATTAAGCCTACCGGTATTGTTAGATTTTAATACTAATGATTTAGTGTGTGATGTCTTTGGTTAGTATTGGTAAATTGTCCGGTCGCTATTAACAGAACAATATATGCCTACATTTAAAGTTACAATTTCATATTTTCTAAGAAAGTCAAAACATAATTATTTCTATGTCTTTTGCTTAATAGGTTGTCAACTCACTATTATACGATCATAGGTGTCATTCTCACACTTAAAACTCATTTACACCGGAAATAATAACACAATTACCTCCCTTGTTTTCTATTCTCTTCCATGGAGTAGCTAACTTCAAACGTTTGAATTTGTCGATGAAAATGATATTTTTGCCAATTTCTCAACTGGCAATAGTGAATTATAGGATTAATAGGATTATTCTTTAACAAGGTAGGACTGTTTATAGATACCATCTATTTTAAGGCTTTAATTTAATAAATTTTAAAAATATAACTTAAAAATATGAAATTGCAACTTTAAGGAACTAAAGGCATGTCATAATGCATTAAAAGGAAATAAGTAACATACATGTAGTGTGATGTGCTCACTTTTGACACAACCTTTAAAACGTAAAGAATGAACAGACCAGTGCTGGATATTGCCACTACAGGTACGATATGTACTGCGATTCAGGTGCTACAATACGATTCGTATCACGATTCACAACCAGGTCAATATTTAGCAAGAAAACAACAGCATAAATGAATAACGATATTTTTAGTCCTGTCGATGTCGAAGAAATAAAACTGTTTTATTAATTATAACACGATATCTATGTGGATCAAAATAAGGACCAAAACATCCATTCCACCATATATCGTGCCAGCACGTATAACATATAACACTAATATGTAACAGGCATTGCCTGAGTAGAGCGAAGCTGGTTATTGTTAAATATAAAACCTTCAAAATTAATTTTCTCAAGTGATACAAAAAATGTTAAATAATTTAGTTTTTCCAAATTGATTTTCATTTAGATCTAAATTGTATACATTAATTTGTTTTTTAAAAAAGAACAAAAAAGTGTGAGAATTATTTTCATTGACGTCAAAAATATGTGACGTCATGCATTGATTAGACGCGTCATAGAAATAGTTCTATGAGGCGCGTATCTCGCTTGGGCGAGATTTGGTAAGTTGACATGCGCATTGCCTGTTTTGCCCAGTGTATCCTGTTCCGGTCTGAATTTTTTTTTTAATCAACAGTCTGTGGGTGACAATTTCAGTTACGCTCCTGTGTTACCGGAAAAGAGCTTTGCTCAAGCACCGCGCTTCGCGCGATGCTGTAGAGCTTCGCTCTATATAAAGAATTGAGCACTATAACAGACTATCATATTTTGTCACACAGCCAGATACTTGTAGAATAACATGCTGTTATTGACACAAGTGAAGTTCCAATTTCTTCTGTTCTGTTCCGATTTGTTTTTACTGTGGGTGTATAAACAATAAGATATTGAATTTCAAAGAAAGTTTCATGATACCTGTTATGCTTTCCTCTTCTGTTCCTGTACTTCCTGATATGTCTTTTCTTTTACCCATGATGAAACTCTGTCATTAATCAAATGTGTCGAATGTAAGGCTTTACTTTATAAAAATTCACAAAAGGTAGCCATTTTCTTAAAGGGAGATAACCACCGTAAAACTTTACACTTTTTGTGACTCCTGTACCAAAGAATTGATAAGAGAAAGATAATCAACAATTCAAAGTAGGAGGCAGACCACTATTAAATTGCAAATTGTAGTTCGTCTATTTATAGCAATTCTCTCTCTGCCTCTTTTCTCCCCTTTTGCATGCCCATTCCTGTTGATATTTGGGTCTAGAATGGACGAAGAGGGTTTGAATTAACATTTTCTGCCAGGTTTTGGTAAATATTCATGATTTTGAGGCGGAAGGATAACGTGGTTATCAGGTTGGCTGCGGTGATATGTACGGCAACTAGGTTTTTAGTATGCTTCTTCAAGTTTGTGTATCTCAAAATTTTGGTGGTCAACCTCATACTAATTTTAGTGCAAAGACATGACCATTTCTTCCTCTGTCTGTAGTGAAAAACATTCAGCTCAACGAAAATGTGGGGAGAGGTTGGAGGTGGGCAAAGAGGCCAGAATTAACATTAAAGTCAATGGGGAAATTAACGGTGGTCTGCCTCCAAAGGGATGTCACTGAGATATACAGTTGTAGCGTCTTCAAAGCATTGATTTACAAAATTACAAGCCTATGGTTACTGACCCCCCTCCCCCTCACCAGGAGTTATTTGCAAGATAGCAAATGAATTATCGTTGGGCACTGTGGGTAGCTGGGTGACGGTTGTCCTGTAAGCAAAATTCTTAGGGTCGCAACATTTCAACAGAAATAATAAAAAAAAAAATATGAATAATAAATTTTAAAAAATAGCCCCCACTCACACAGAAAATCTCTTATTGTTCTGACATTCTACACAGGTTTTCAATATGACAGGCAAAATAGCGTTACTGCAACTTGGGCAGAATACTCTATATTAATATATTTTCAGCGTGGTTCCCTCTTGTCAGTGATACAGGACGGAGGGCCTGACAAGGACATCTGTCTAGTCGCGCGGATGGGACGAAAAACCGAGGTCCCGTGTACACATTGGCGTGCACGTAAAAGATCCCCTGACAGTTAGAATTCGATATAAGAGTAGGCCGTAGTGGCGCTGTCCGAGCAAAACTTCCCTCCTAGCACACTGTATGGCGTATGCCTGTCTTCATTAGCCCGGTTCGGAGCAGAACAGTAGGACGTTAAACCCCACTTCATTTCATTTCTATAGTAATATATGGGTTATGGACACAACGGCCCAAAAACAAAAATACATTTTAGGTATTATAATCACATCCCGTAATATTATGATTGAATAAAACAAAAGAACACACAATTATTAATTTAATACAAAGAAAGAAAGATAAACGAATATTTAATTAATTAAAAAAAAATAAGGTTAGTAGAAAACATATGTTTAATTCTCATATTATTTTTAGGCATTTGCCTTTCGTACTTTTCGGCGGATCAAAGCCACCACTTTATTGGGCTGTATGTCTATTTATTTCCCGTAAAATAGAGCGAGAGCAAGAAATTGGGTTTAACGTCCACTCGACACAAACTAGGTCATTTCGAGACTAACATGTGGTTAAATTTTATTTCCATAATTCGCTTGCGCGTAGGGGTCTTTAGCAGTGGGAGGAAACCGGGGGACCCGAAGAAAACCCACGAGGTTGGACAGGCCATCCTACTCCTTGTCACGTACAACACAACCGGGGAATCGAAACCACGCCAGTTGACTCAATGACAGACTTTATGGTACAGCACGCATTCATCAATTATACAATTTCATATAATTATCAATTATACAATTTCATATATTTATCAATTATAAAATTTCATATAATTAATAACTATACAATTTCATATAATTATCAATTATACAATTTCATATAATTATCAATTATACAATATCATATAATCATCAATTATGCAATATTTTATAAGACTGGCCATTAAATCTCAATAATTATTGGGCTTTACCACAGAATAATTAGCGTATACAGAGTTCGAGTCTTTATTAAATCTCAGTTATATTTTTTCTTTGGCCAGAACACCAATCACTTCTTATACACTTCACGGGCACAGAGAAGGGTATTACCTCAAAAATATCGATGTTAACGGTTACCTTAGAGACCTTATTTTATGGATCTAAAATCGTTGTTGATGAAAATGTATTTAACCTTCGGTTTGTTTTCAAATTCATTATCAGTATTGTATATATTCATGTCGTACTGGAAATAAAATTGGGTATAAACCAAAATTACTAATATTTAATTAATTCATTACCCTCCCACCCCCAGCCTTTCCCCAGGCCTTACCCTATTTTCAGATGCGCGCGTGTGTGTGTGTGTGTGTGGGGAGGGCATAACCGTAAACACAGGTACTTTTGGGGATTTTCCAACTAGGGCTCGTGTGTTACAATGATGTTGTCTTCAGATTAGTTCAACAATTTTAAGAATGGTATCATAAGTAGCAGGGCATAGTTATAACGATTTCTTCCCGATCCTCCCGTAGGTTCAATGGTAGAGGTGCTAGGACGACACACTCTGTTTGCGGGACGAACACATTTGTTCGGAATCATTGTCTGAAATCATAAACAGAATAAAAATAATGAACAACTTTAATGGCCAATAGAAATCTTGAACAGTTCCCTTCATTCTAATTTATTGTCAACAAAATGGAATACACTGGACGAAATAGAGAGACAAGAGGGATATCATGTTATGCTTTTAATTATTATTATTGCTGTCAATTGTATACCCGTTCCATCGAAGCAGCCAGACGCTTTGTGTTTACTTGACAGGGAAAAATCAGGTGGGAAAGTTTCGCTGAATTTTCTCGACCAACACACGGTTATACTCCCATCAGACCCGGGTGGCGCCCTTAATGCGCTGCTAAGGCGACGGAAAATGGTCTCAGAGCGCGTCAAGATCGCCATAAGCGTGCTACAAGTGTGCTGGAAGCGCCAGATATCGTGCTGTGGTCTCCATCGTCTCCAATGATCGCTCTGTGACGGTGTTTGCTTTGAGCATGTTCAAAACAAACGCCAAGGTTCTGCGATCTGATCCGTACAGCTGTGAGAACGCGACTTTTTTTCAAGTTTGTAATTTTTGGGGCATTGTCTTGCGTTGTGTTCATGTTTGCCTGCAACCTTGTGTATTTTCTAGTTGCCGTACGGTCGCAGTAGCGCAGTAAGGACGCCAACCCGGTCTGATCCACCACGGCTCACGCTTTCTATTATAATAAAGTGCGTAAACACTGTACACGTTGTCGTGCACGTAAAATATTTTTTAACAGTTGAAATTCGATATTAGAGTAGGCAGTAACGCTACTTTCTGGTCCATATTTCCCTCATAGAACACTGTATGGCGTATGCCCGCCTTCATTAGCCCAGTCGGTGCATAACAGTACTGCATACTCCATACAGTGTGCTATGAGGGAGATTTTGCTCGGGTAGCGGCACTACGGCCTACTATTATATTGATTCCAACTGTCAAAGGCTAAATTTATTTGTTAAGGCTAGCTCAATTTTTGTCAAGGTCGCTTAGATGTAAATAATGTTAGGGCACGTAATTGTTGGCGAGATTGTAGGTTAGGGTTAGGGTTGGGATTAGCGCTAGCCCTGTTTACATCTCGTGACCTATGACGAAAAATTGAGCTGGCCTTATCATTTGGCACTAACCCTCTTTTACGTGCACGTCCATGTGTACACGGGACCCTATACTAAACTTAGGCTGCCTGTCTATAGTTATAGCCCCGCTTCAGAACTGACACTAAGCTAGTTGACCGACATTTTAAGTTCCAAATCGACGATTTTAGTCGAAAACACTAAGCATACTTCGGTAATTTTGATAATTTTTTATTCTGCTTCCATTTAATGTGTGTATGCCAGATGTGAAACGGAGTAGAACCGCATTACAAAACAGTATACTATTTTTTGGGTATGGCGGCCATTCAGGACAGATATTTATTCTCGAAGAATGAAGTCGATAGATCCCTGTGTGCCGAATGCACGGGACCCCTGCAATGTACTTACCCGATTAGAGAAGACGCTAGAATCATTTAAAAGTGGATCTATAACATCTTTCCATTGTTGTAACGTCCACGATGATGCGCCACGTTTGATACCATTAATAAAATGTATCGGTGTACCAGTTACACGACCTTCAATAAATATTTATATATAGTATGAAATGGAGTTTAAAGTCCTATTCTTCTGCACAGATCAGAGAAAGAGAGAAAAATGGGGTTTAACGTCCACTCGACACAAACTAACATATGGTTCAATTTTATTTCAATAATTCGCTTGTGTTAGGGGTCTTTAGCAGTGGGAGGAAACCGGAGGACCCGGAGAAAACCCACGAAGTTGGACAGGCGACCCCACCCCTTGTCACGTACAACCGGCGAATCGAAACCACGCTAGTTCAAATCCAGTTGCGACAACTGTGAAGCCATAAATTTCATATGACGTCATGAAAATATGACGTCAAGGTACAAAAACGCCATCTTGGGTCCCAAGTATTTGTACCTACTCACTTTCTATTTTATGTCCTATCATACTGTTGTGACGAAGTTGGCTGCCCCCGACAGGGATGTAGATGGATATCTCATAGAATTCCGCGAAAAAGAGATAAAATATACATTTTTTTAAACGAAAAGTATAGCTGAACATACTATATTATTATCATTATACAACAAAAAGCGCACATTATTGTTTTAATAATATAGGCTAGTCCAATTCATAAGAAAATGAAATGAAAGATACACCAGATAAAAGCGCTATTAAATATATTTAACTTGCATACACTTTTTTAAAAATCAGATTTTTTGTGCAGACGGGTAAAGTGAAAAATTAAAATCTAAATAGTAATTTGGGAGATAAAACCCTTTTGCCTTCCAGCCGGCAAAATAAATGCCTGAAATTCCATGATTTTATGGTCTTTTAGCCATTCCGAATTCGGTCATCGATCATTAATTGTATCATTAATTTTTCGAAAATAGAAATTTCTTTAAATTGACTAGATAAAACATTTAAAATCAGTGTAACTTAAAATCAGTGTAATTTATATAAAAGGTGTCTAACCTAACATGTTTTTCGGGCATATGTTTAATCAGTGACATATGAGACGAGATATCGCTCTACGAAACTTCCTGGTGTCTTTTGCAATTTGTTTGGGGTAAAACGTTACCACTCCCCGCCCATGAGTGAATAATAATTTTAATCTAATATACAAACCGCACAAATTTAACAGATGCAAATAATGTACATGTACATGTTATTCCACAGGTAGACATACATTGAAGGGGCCCAGTGAAGGAGACGCAGTTGGTTTAGAGTTTTTCCGACTCCTTTGGGTATTTGCGCCCCATTTCCAATGAAATGATCATGTTGTTCTGATGCTCAACTAGTATCAAATATATACTCTTCAAAAAAAGTAGGGGATATTCAGAAACAATACAAAACTGCGGAAATGCACTGCTATTTTTATTAGAGGTAACCAGTGTATGTTAATAACAGGCCAATTCCCTACACATGAATATAAACATCAATGGGCGGCTTATCTGACGGCCCCATTTCACAGGCAAATAGATACACCGTCAAAAGTGAAAATGGACGTTTTTGATTTTTGTCTTAATAATGAGTAATTGCTCCACCAATCATCAGGCATTCAGCAATTCGTCGTGGCATGCTCCTAATCTGACCTACTCCTCTTGCAGTGCCACGGCCAATTCTTGCAGTGTTGTCGGTTGACGTTGACTTCGACGAACACATTTTCCAATCAAATTAAACGTAACACCCTAAAGCAAAGATACGCTAAACAGTAAATATTATGCAAGAACCGATAGGAAAGCAAACATGGATAGATAAACCAGCACGCGGCAGTTTTCATCAACCCTTCCTTGAAGTGTCAATCTTGACAATGAACCCCTCCCACGTGTATGACGCCATTGCGTGTCTCATGTGCAGCTCAGTGGTTCAGTTGGGGCGATAGGTTCTTCATCTGTGAACATACTCTCAAAGCATGTCAAGTGTCCATGACTATTTATCATATTACAACCTGCATAGGTATTTGCATTTGAATATACCCTACTTTTTTTTAAGTGCCCGAGATTTGTTACAAATCGCCTCGAGCATGTTCCACACATCTCAACATTTATCCGCTTTTTGTTCAATCTATAAAAGCCTACATTCCTACACAATGGTTTGTTTAGTCAAGTGAAACAAGAAAATGTATAGGCTAAATGGAACAAAAAAACACGTACACCTTAAGTCGACAAATACGCAAAACTATGCAAAAAATATATTTCTATGACATGATTCAACCGAAAGGGCCTATATAATATCTACATTCTAGTTAAACGAACCGCACCTATTCATTTTATATCTTGCATCGAGCTGAATAAATTATGTGCTTTATAACATCTACGGGTGGTTAACAGTGTATAACTAAAAGCTATGAATGGATCTTTATTGCCAACATTTCAGTGTGTTTTTGCACCTTGTTTATAGCATCTAGATGTTTAAAGCGCGTTAACAATATATTCATTTAAAAGCAACTATGTCATTTCGGGATTAATATACCACATATTACAAGTCATACCCAACGGAAAGAAATGACGATTAATGGAATTCCACCATTTTGGATTTCATTTTGCCGGCCATTTCGAATTTCTACCATCAAGAATTCTCGAAATTAAATTTTTGAGATTATCGCTGCCTTTTTATTACCAAATTAATGGGGGGGGGGGTCAGTTTTTTTTTTTTAAATTTGGCAGTTATTTTGAAAGAAATGCCCGCCATCAAATGAAAAATACATTTTTAAATTGATGTTTGTCAAATTTGATTTTTCGACACACTTCGCTTGCATAACCACTCTGTGTTTGAGGAATTTAAAAATAAATTGTTAATCATGTCATTTTGCCTTGGCCGATTTTGAGTATGATTTTGTCTGACATATTATCATTGAACCAAACTGCATTGGTTTCTTTTGCAATTTGTTTGGGATAAATTGTAGCCCGTAAAACGTTATACCAAGAAAAAAATAAAAGGTTTTGTTAATAAAAATAACTTCCTTTACTCTACATCTAGCCTCGGCTGTATGACGGTAAGTGAAATGTACCTTCGCCTATACAATTGCGATGCGGCACCGGTTTACTTATTAGGAAAAAATGCCGCTTTTAAAAAGAAGTTATCAAAATTGCCTTGTTCTAAGCGTGTGTAGAATTTTCAGTACAAAGTTGTCCTTGTTTGAAGAAAATCGCTGTTGGTAATCCGGGAACTTGAAAGAAGTTCCAATGGCGGGCTTCGTCATACTGCCGAGGCTAGATGTAGGATACTGGAATCTATTCAGGTTTGTCGAGTGACTTACGAGTACAAGCATATTTCCAGGCTACTATTGTTACGTGTTCAACATCACTATGACTCATTAAAGACATAAATCTACTGACTGCTACACCATATCTTTCAGCACTAGTCGCCATACGTCTAAAATCATAAAAAAAAGAAAAAAGGAAAGAAATGAAATGGGGTTTAACTGGGGTAATGGAAACGTGCATACGTCATAAATCTACTGACTGCTCCATATCTATCAGCACTAGTCGCCATACTTCTAAAACCATAATAAAGAAAGAGGGAGAGAAATGAAATGGGGTTTAATTTCTGCACCTACCGGGCTAATGAAAACGGGCCTAAACCATACATTGTGCTATGGGGGAAATTTTGCGGCACTATGGCCTACTCTTATATCGAATTCCAACTGCCAAGGGATCTTTTAGGTGCATGCCAATGTATACACAGGACTTCGGTTTATCGCCCCATCCGAACGACAAGACAGCTGTCCTTATCAGGCATCCTTCCTGCACCACTGACAAGGGGAAACCACGCCTTAAAATCCCGATGAACTTTCTCTGCCAATACCTTGGTTTATCGTTGCATCCGAAGGACTAGACAGCTGTCCTTGTCAGGCCATCCGTCCTGCACCACTGACAAGGAGAAAACACGCCAGAAGAGAGAGGACAAAAGAAGATTAACACCCACTCACCACCATGCTTCAACACGGTAGACTAAACCCAAAATGGTTACTTTGCATAAAGAAATCCCTCTTACCTTATGGCAGTATCAGTAGTTATGTTCATGGTATTACCCGTAGACAACTGGTCACGATTTGTTAACATGTGCCTCATGAACTCAAATGTCTTCAATCCACTGGTTTCCAAATCAACTATATAAACGGCCTAAAAGAAATGAAATAGGGTTTTACGTCCTACTTTTCTGCACCAACGGGGTTAATAAAGAGAGAGGGAGAAATGGGGTTTAACGTCCACTCGACATAAACTAGGTCATTTCGGGACTAACATATGGTTTTAATTTTATTTCAATAATTCGCTTGCGCGTAGGGGTCTTTAGCAGTGGGAGGAAACCGGAGGACCCGGAGAAAACCCACGAGGTTGGGGGTTAATAAAGATGGGCGTACGCCATATAGTATGTTCTGAGATGTGCTAAATTTCCCCCGGACACGTTTGGACCTCGGATTTTTGTTCCATTCGAACGACGCCATTACTCATCGTTATTTCCTGTTTTCCAATAATTGTGACAGAATCAGTTTTCGAATCCTCTCGATAATTTGGCTTTCTGAAGCCTCCAATGATTGCATCAAGTTTTTATTCCACGGACACTATTTAGCATCAGGTGTACCCCATGAAGACAGTGCCGTAACGATGTTCGATTTACCTAGGGGAGAGCGAGAGAGAGAGAGAGGGGGTAATGTCCACTCGATCCAAACTAGGTCTTTTTGGGACTAATATATTGTTCAATTTTATTTCAATACTTTTGCAGTGGGAGGAAGCCGGAGGACCCGGAGAAAACCCACGAGGTTGGACAGGCGACCCTACTCCTTGTCACGTACAACCGGGGAATCGAAACCACGCCAGTTTACTCAATGACAGACCTTATAATACAGCGCGCACGTGCTAACCATTCGTTCATCTACGCCACCCCACCCCCCTCCGCCCAGGGGATGGGGCCATGACTATACAGAGTATGGTGACGAACTGGTCAAGCCACATCAATAGTTTTCATTTTTTTCTTGACTGCGAGGGGGTGTTTAAATTCCATCTATTATTCCCGCCTGTGGATATTCCACTGTAAATAGGAACCAAAGTTTGGAAACTCTAGTTTCTTTTCAAATGTACACGTAGCTTGACTTACCTTACTGGCGGAGAAGGAATGGATGTGATACGGTAACGGAAACAGATGATACGTCAGCTGTACTCTTTCTGGACCGTAGTAGTCCGCTACTTGTCTTAGCGTTGGATCCGCCCTCTCACTATCTGGACACAACATCTCCAAAAACAGCGACAACTTGATGGGGGCATTGTCGCAACTACAATTATACACAAATCCTAATGGACGATTTGGTAAAGGCACAGCAGATACTGCATCCGGTACCAGCGACAGAAAACACACCGAAATCAGGATCAGCATTTTTGAATGTTCACGTGTTCACGCGTGTGAATTCTGTGTCGTGGTATCACTAAATCTTCAGTACTCGCAATAACAATGGCAGCCCAGTGACGTCAACATGGTTGATGTAACTTTGTGATTTCTTTCGCTGTTACTCCTAACAATGGCAGTCCGGTCGCGGCTGGTGTAACTTTGTAAACAAGATCCTGAATAAATGTACGAAGGATAAAATTTGATAGTATAATGTTTGTTTATGATATATATCAGGTTTGTTTAGATGCAGTATTGTTTACACATCGTGTCTCCTAACAATGGCAATTCTGAATAAAGATATGATAGTATCAGGGGGCATATCCAGAGGGAGGAGATGGGGGGGGGTCCAAACCCCACCCTGCTAGTCTACATAAAAACAGGTGTGACGGTCGTGTGGTTTATCCTTTATTATCAGACGGTGGGGTGGGATTGGCATTCTAAGAGGGGGAGGGAAGAGAGAAATGGGGTTTAACATCCACTCGACAGGCATTCAAAGCGCGAAATAAGCAGACATGTGTGATATCACAATAAAGCTTTGCATCAATGAAATTGAATCAAAATCTGATCCAATTAATTCATTTTAGAAATTCACATCAAAGCTTGTGTTGGATTTCTCTGTTTATAAAGCTCAGTGTATGTATGCCTACGTCATTTAGAGACGATGATGGCACCATGCATTGTCAACTGTCATATTTCCGTAACGGTCGTGTGCTTTATCCTTTATTATCAGCCGGTGGGATGGGGTTGGCATTCAAAGCTCGAGATAAAAGGGATGTTGGATTTCTCTCTTTAACAGGCTCAATATGTTCCAATCTTTATTCTGATCAACAAATTGTACTATTTTAGAATATTTCAATTAATTGATGATACAAATTTCATCTTATTTAAAAATTTTGAAAAATTCAACCTAATGGTTTGAAACGTCTAACGTAAACCTTTTCAAATGAAACTTCGATTTAAAAATATTTTCGAAGCCTCTGCACAAGTAAAATAGGATGTAATGGATAATTTACACAACAGGTTGGACACTTAAACATCTAGTACTTAGATAGAGATATTAATTATTTTCTGGAGCTTTCAAGCCAGCAAGAGTGTTATTGTCCCTTTAAAAGGCTCAATGTGTATGCATGCATACGTCATTTGGAGACGACGATGGCATCATGCATTGTCAAATTTCCGTAACGGGTACCTGGCACCCCCCCCCCCCCTGCAGAAATTCCTAGATCCACCCCTGAGTATAACATGTTTATAATATATATCATGTGTATGCATCATCACATGAAGACCACATTATTTTCTGTTTATGTTTGACTATGAATTCTATAGTATATTTAATTCAACTAACCTCTACCTCTGAAGGGGATGGCCAAATAGACTCACATTTCAGATATCGGAGCAGCCTGTGAAGTCATTCAAATGGGTTTATTGCTTGTTTGAGATGAATTATTTCACGAAAACAGACAACCAGAATATGACCTATTTTAAGATTGTGTTTTAATACCCTTTCAGTTTTTTTAAATGTCGCTCTTGCTCTTTTCTGATGTAAATTGAGCTTTTACATGGTTAGAAAGACGTAGCTGATAAAACCGAATGTCATATTTGGGTACATTTTCTTACAGGACCCCCCATCGGTCGTCCACAGTTTCTTAACGTCCTACAGTGTGCTATGGGGGAAATTTTGCCCGGGCAGCGGCATTATGGCCTACTCTTATACTGAATTCAAACTGCCAAGGGATCTTTTACATGCACGCCAATGTATACACGGGACCACGGTTTTCGTCCCACCGAACAACTATAGACAGCTGTCCTTGTTTGGCCCCGTGTCCTGCAAGACTGACAAGGGGAAACCACGTCGAAAAATCCTGATGAACTTTCTCGTCCAATGCAGGGATCGAACACGTGATCTCCAGGCTAGCGAGCCAGCGTCTTATGTTTACATTATTGGAGTTGGTGCAGGATGGAGGGCCTGACAAGAACAGCTGTCTAGTCCTTCGGATGATACGAAAAACCGAGGTCCCGTGTATACATTGGAATGCACGTAAAAGATCCCTTGGCAGTTGGAATTCAATGTAAGAGTAGGCGATAGTGCCCCTGCCCGGGCAAAATTTCCTTCATAGCACACTGTATGGCGTATGCCCGTCTTCGTTAGCCCAGTATAGGAGCAGAACAGTAGGACGTTAAACCCCATTTCATTTCATTTTTAGGAGTTGGCTCACTGACCAGTAGAACATGGAACTTATAGTGGGGTGGATGGCCGAATGTTTAGCGCGTGCGCGTTGTATCATAAGCTATGTCTTTGAGTCAACTGGCGTGGTTTCGATTCCCCGGTTGTACGTACTATGGTAAGGTCGCCTGTTCAACCTCTTGGGTTTTCTCCGGTTTCCTCCCACTGGCCTAGTTTGTGTTGCTGGCTGTATCCACCCCAACCCAACCACCCCCACCCCTCCTTTTCTCTTTGACGGCCCCATAGCACACTGTATGGCCTATGTCTGTCTTCTTTAGACCAGTCGGAGCAGAACAGCATGACGCTAAACCCCATTTAATTTCTTTTGTAGATGTTCTGGAGTCGATGATGAAATGTACATGATAAACCAGTAAGTATTCTTATAGTACACATTTTAGTCGGTCCCTTTCTCCACAAACCCAGAACCCGGTTTAGGCGTGTGCTAACCGTGCGATCTCCCAAGGACCGCGCATGCGCCTTAAGGGGGTTCAGAAGAGAGGGGTTTTTTTTTCAGGTTTGATGCCGAAACATTAGTCGTCAAACAACATTTCATTTTGTCAATTTCCAGAAATATTACAACATCATATTACAAGAATGATGGCGTGTCTTATCTTTGTTTTTACTATCAAAAGGAATTACATACATTGTAAGCATATTATACATACAACTACAAGGTAATTAAAGTTAGGTGCATTGAAATTAAAGAAGTACATATATTATAATTATAATTAAAGGGGTATTATGGGAAATTAGATAAAGAGTTGACAGTTCTCTCTAACATAGTTAACAAATAGATAATGTAAACAGAATATGCTGAAAATTTCAGTCAAATTGCTCCACTATGAACCAAGATAGATATTAGCTTTTGAATTTTAGGCCTAACCTCGATCATCATTAAAAAGTCGATATGATAAAAAAGACAAAGTCTCGATTATCCATTTTGACGTTAAATCATCCATCACACAATGTATTCGAATCCAGTAAATATCGCAGGCTAGCGATGGCATCGAGAGTTGGTTATGGTCTTCATCGATAAGTTAATTAATGTCTAATTAATATTTTATATAACATTTCAGGTCAAAAGAATGACCTGCAATAGGCAGATTTAGCTCTTGAATAATGTATGTTTAAGGCAGTGGTTCTCAACCTTTTTTTTGCCAACGGCATACCTTGGAACACATAAAAAAAATAGCGGCACACCAGACTAAATATATATGTAAAATATTTGAATTTTGCAAAATATAACATAACAAATCATAGTCTACATACAACTATAGACACAGACTAGTCATGGACACACAGGATGACTCAAACTAAATAAAGAAAAACACAGCTATTCAAAATTTCGCGGCACACCTAGAATAGAACGATCTTGCGGCACACCTGGGTGCCGCGGCACACTGGTTGAGAATCACTGGTTTAAGGCCTAAAGAAAGATCTGCAAAAGGCAAATTTAGCTCTTGCATAATGTATGTTTAAAGGGTTGCAGTTTTAAAGAATTTAAAGCATTGTTATTAAATAAACACACGAGTTAAAGTTTTAAAGAATTACATGCATTGGAAGTACATTTTTAATACATAAATACACACATTGCAATTACAATCAAATTACAAACATTTATTTTTAAGTTGCAGAGAGACCTTTCCGGGCCGGCATGACCAGTACCGTATCTAAATTATCTCTTTTTAATCTTACTTAAAATACAGATGTGACGTCACCCTTTGATGTTGGCGTACCATTATTTCAAATAATCGTACGGGCAACTTGCCAATCGTACCTTGTCAAATATTAGACTCGAGTGACGTATTTCACTGTAAACGCACGTGCAGAGTGTCTGTATTTTAAGATGTTTAATGGTCTCGAGCTGAGACATAATGTATCTTTAAGAAAATAAAACCCAAATATCAACGACACATAATCAGGATTTAAAATACAGATGTGACGTCACCCTTTGATGTTGGCGTACCATTATTTCAAATAACCGCACGGGCAACCTGTCAATCGTACATTTTTTATACTAGTGAAATATTGGACTCGCGTGACGGAGTGTCTGTATTTTAAGTCGTTTAATGGTCTCGAGCTTAAGACATTGCGTAATATATTGTAAAAACACTCGGGCCTACGACCCTCTTGTTGTTACAATATATTACTTAATGCCTGGCTCTCGACCGACCATTAAACAATACATAATGTATCTTTAATAAAATAAAACTCAAATATCAACGACAGATAATCCGGTTTTAATAGATAATCTGACAGATTGGATTTAATCCGATCATCAGATGATTTTAAACAACATATTTATTATATCTATATTTTGCAGCGGATGGTGTATCATTTCAATTCGTCATATATTTGTAAAACGTGAATGGTATTGAACTGTTTTTGAAATGAAATGGGAGTTTAACGTCCTACTGTTCTGCTCCAACTGGGCTCATGAAGACGGGCATATGCCATACAGTGTGCGATGAGGGAAGTTTTGCCCGGACAGTGGCACTATCGCCTACTCTTATATTGAATTCCAACTGCCAAGGGATTTTTTACGTGCACGCCAATGTATACACGGGACCTCGGTTTTTCGTCCCATCCGAGCGACAAGACAGCTGCCCTTCTCAGTCCCTCCGTCCTGCACCACTGACAAGCGGAGAAAGGTATTAAACTGTTTTTGAATTGATATTCCTTTTAGAGATTTAACTTTCACAATATTGTAGTTTACTCATATTCCTGAAGCAATGGTCCGAGAAATCACTCTCTTGCCATTGCTGGATTGGCTTCTGATACTTGAGTTTTTGAGGGAGTGTGCGTATTTTTCCCGTTCAATCAAATCTATCCCAAGTGCAGCAACTTGACAGCCTTTCGTTTAAACTGGGGTCTTCCCTTAAACTTTGGACAGTGACTTAAGGTATTAAAAAAGGTGAAAGTACTGTTCGTCTCCAAACAGTATTGTTTACGTTATATTCGTGTTGATAGCCTCGTTTGTCACGCAATTAGTTTTTCTGCAATATTCTGCAATGCACTGGTTAATCGGGCATAATAAAATAGTGAGT